GAATGTAATTTAGATGGAACTGGGGCCATCAATATATTGATTCCAACAAATGGGATTCTCCTTTCAGTAAATCAGTCCTCTGATCCTGTTATCTAACTGGTTTCAGAGTAGCAGCCGTGTTAGTCTGTAACCGCAAAAAGAAAAGGAGGACTTGTGGCACCTTAGAGACTAACAAATTTATTTGAGCATAAGCTTTCGTGATGCTGTAGCTCACGAAAGCTTATGCTCAAATAAATTTGTTAGTCTCTACGGTGCCACAAGTCCTCCTTTTCTTTTTGTTATCTAACTGTGCATAGGCCAGGAACCTTTTAAAAAGACATACATTAATATTCACAATGTTTTCTGTCCAGTATGTCTCAGTTTCAGCATCAGAGTGCTAGTGGGCATGACGACTGCACATGCCTGGCTACAATGCCACTCACTGAAATTTGGCTCAGCCACCCCACCATTATGATGGAGGAGTGGCCAGGCCAAATTTGAACAAGTGGCATTGCAACTCCAGTGACAAAGTGCTCCATACCCTCTAGAAAGTTTGACATGTCCCTAAGGTTGAGAACTGCAGTTTATCTACCAAGCTTCATAGACTTTATGAAGAGAAAAAATAAATTCTCTTCATCTTCACACAAACCACAGCACACGATTCAAGCATTGAGACGTCCCAACTGGCTGACCTCGAAACATGAGTGCTATGAGAACTTTAGCCTCCACTCCTTGTATTTCATTTATCATGAAGTTATCTATATAGTACATGACACATGAGATCTGAAAACAATATTTAAGAGCCTTACTGATGGCTGAGCAACAAAATGATTATGATATTGCATGAGGTCATCAACAGAACAGTCCACCAGCTATAGGATGTTACACCTAAGAAACACCTCAAGTGGATGTGGTCCCTACATTTCCGTGCATGTACTAGAGAAATAGGTCCAGCAGGAGCTAAGGTGAGTCTTCCCTTCAACCTGGAGAAGCAAATGGCCAGACCCGGGGACAAAGGTATAACTCTCCCTCATTGTCAATTTCATTCTAAACCCAATATCCAGCATGTACTCTGAAAGCATCACTGCATACAGATTCAGTTGTCGTACGGGCTCTCTCTCTTTACTATTTTATACCACAAAAAATGACAGATTATTATAGTCACAAAACCAACAAGTCAATATTTTACAAAAGTTATAAGCAAGAAAAACATCACTTTTTTTAAAATGCAGCTATCCTGCTGATGCAGTAGCATTCCAGTGTGTAACAGAGATCTAGGACTCCCACTCCCTACATTGCTTTTGGGGAAAACAGAACAAATTCCATCATCATCTAACAGTGCACCCAAATCGTCCATTCCAAGGAGTGGCACTGTGCATAGTTTAAAGAGGTATAAATGTTCCTCTCCCCGTTCAGGAGAAGAGAGAAACAGAATAAGGGGATAGAAAAAAAAGGGTGGTGGTGGTGCAAGGAAATGGTATGGAAGATGATTATCACATATGTCTGCACGGCTAAATCAGCTCTAGTAAACTAGATTTTAAAATCTACAAGAAGCCAAGAAAGAATCTCAGATAGTAACCATTATAAGGATGGCACAATCAGCACTGAGAAAAAAATCTTAATTTGAAAAAATAAAAACCAAAAGCACCATATAAGCAACTTCTACAATAACAGAGACCCAGTTGTAAAATTATGCACAATTACCACCATCTAGTGGCAGCCTGAAAAAGTGTCATACATTACAACTACACATAAAAGATTACTGGTATCACCACATTTGGATATACCATACTCTACAGGGAAAAAAAGGCTTATGCCAAAAACTTCAAATTTTATTTTAAAAATCTTTCTGACACCTAGACATGCATGTCCTCTGATGACTTGGGCATTCTGAAACTCAACATTCAGGTCTCCAGAGCCAGGCTCTTACCCTTATGTTATTACCTTGAGGGAAAACCACCTTACATACAGGAGGTCAGCGAGGACTGCCAGTTCAGGGAGAGGTTCTCCAATCATCCCAGCCCTCACATCTGCCTCTATCTCTTTGGCAATTATAAAATAGAATCTAAAACTAAACTAATTTAAGAAACATTTGATGATTTGTAATATTAGCTGTTGATGAAAACAATGCTACAATGAATTTCTGTGGTCCCTTAGGGTACTTGTTACTGGGCATCTCTCCAAACTAACTGATGAACAGCACCGGACATTTGTTAACACACACACAAAACTCTCACAGGCAGTTGGTTTCATTCAACATTACTGAGTGACAGAAGGCGGGAGTAGGAGGTAGCAGCTCTCAGCCTTGGGCTTCTTCCATTTAGTATTGGTCAGGACCAGCCTTGAAGCCAAACAAAACAATTTTGGGCTCTTCAAATTTTGCAACTCAGAGGCCAGACCTCTCCCTCTCTCTGGCAGCTGGACCAGATGGGGAAGAAAAAGCTCCCTGCCAGACACTCCTCTACCAACAACTGCAGAAGAAAAATGAACTTATATGTTGATGTTCTCCTCCAAACACAGGACTCTGATCCTAACTTAGATCTTGCAATTTGGAGAGCCAAAGGCTCTGTGACATGTGAGATATGTGAACATTATGTGAATGTAGTATTCCTGCAGTGTCAAAGCTTTGGCTGTGGTGCAATGAATTAAGTTTTTCTTTTTTAAAACAGAAAAATATGGAATAGCATGAGACTCATGTGATGGACAGAAGGAGTAATGGACCAAGTCCTGGTGAGGGTCACTGGAGCCAAGAATTGAGCAAAATTCAAAAAGGGATTGGCCATTTATAAGGATAGCAATATCCAGAGTTTTAATAGTAAATACTTAAAAACATAATTTGGAAGTGATAAAACCTAATTCTTCAGGGCCAATATTTCATTATTAAAGGTAAGAAAGACTTCCCTAGGTCAGAGGTGGGCAGAAATTACCCATATCTGCCTACTGAAAAGTTTTGTGCTCCCTCCTCTGAAACAGTTGGGTGCTGGCCACTACCAGAGAAAAAGAAATGGGACTAGATGGACCCCAGGTCTTATCTAGTCTCTTAGTTTCTATATTCTTATGAAGGGAGTGGAATGGAGTAGAATGGAGATTGAAAATAATTGGAATTCCACACCCCAAGCAATTCTTGCACTTTCTCTATGTACTAAAATCTAAACTATAGAAGACCGTCAAGGAGCCCTATACTTGGGGAGAAGAAGTGGTGCTTCCAGTTTGGAGTGAAGAAGTTTACCAAATGTTTACAAATCAAAGCAACCCACTAACAGTTCTTTTATTTATATTACAAACAGATTACCGAGCAGCTAACTCAAGCAGCGTCAGCACTTCTATTATAAAACCTCTAGAGCAGGGGTTCTCAGGACAAATTATTTGATGGCCTCAGAGTGCGCCCACCAACTCTTGCTTGTGGCCACTCTCACATTTTTTCCTAAAATACTTAATTAGCTTTAGGAAAAATAAATATGCACATCTGAAGCGCTGAAATTTATTTATTACTAGCTACTAAATGTGCTATGAAAAGTGATATTACCATACATACAAGTATCACTTTTCACAGCAGAATTACTCAGCCCCGCAAGTCTGGGAACAAAGTAAGCCCTGGATGGAAGATCAGGGGAAGCAGCAGAGGCTAAGGGCATGTGGCGGGGGGGGGGGACCTGAAGCCCCGCAGGGGACAGAACCCAAAGCCGCATGGATGGAGACTGCCTCCCCGCCACCCCCGGGCTAAAGCCCAAATCCTGAGCCCCACCACCTCTGAAAAGGTGTGGAACTCACCGGCTGCCTGCTCCTTCAGCATTGTGCCCCAGGTGTCTCCAGAAGGGGTTCAGGCCCAACCCCTGCTGGAAGCCCCAGTAACCAACACCAAGGGAGTGCATCCAGGAGCACCAGGAAGGGGAAGGGGCTGCTGCTTCTTCTTCCCCCCCCACCCAATAACAGCCCAGGAAGCTGCGGCCGCAAGAAAAGCCCCTGGTGGCTGCATTTGAGAAACGCTGCAGTCTAAAGTGACTGTTCCGTAACTGAAGTAGAGCTTTGGAAAGTCTACGTAACATGCCCCATGCTCCCACCTGAATGGCAGCATGTGTAACCCTTAATTATGCTAGGTGGTGACTGTGACAACTCTTAAAGCAACCTGCAAGCTGGGGCTCTTGGACTCCCTCTAGCTCCTTCCATAATCCTGCTCACTAGAAAGCTGTCCACAGTAATGCTTCATTCAGGGTCAAGAAAGTCAGAAACATGCTTAAACATGAACCCTGGTTCATGTAAATAAAATGTAAATAAAATGTTATTTTCAAGGCAGGTAACTGTTGTATCTAGAATTCACAGGGTTATTGTGTTCAAATAAAAAAAGGACAACTTCTAATTACCATAATGTTTACAAATCAAAGCAACCCACTAACAGTTCTTTTGTTTATATTACAAACAGATTACCGAGCAGTTACCTCAAGCAGCGTCAATACATCTATTATCAAACCTCTAAAGCAGGGGTTCTCGAGACAAATTATTTGTACACTTGAAATCTAGGCAATCCAATCAAAGAAAAAATAGTTTCAGGTAGCATACCCAACCCTGAGCGTACCTATCATTTTTTTAAAAATGGATCTTCTCGCTCTCTCATTTTCTTTTTGTCAAAGTCCCAAAGAGAACAGGGGGAACTGACAAACTGTCTACAAAGTTCTGAAATGCACAAAGAGTAAACAAACTGGAAAAAAAAATTCTCTCTTCTAATCTTTCCAGTTATGATAATCTTGGGTATTTCAGCAAAAGTCTGCTTACCAAGTTGACACTGTCCCTTTATTTTCTGCTTGTCATTTCTAGAATCAAGCAAAACAGTGATTCTGCAGGAGTAGCAGAGCATTTCCCCAAATTTTACCATCAACTAAAGCAAAAAAATAGCTTATTTCTACTATGTAGACCACTACAGCAGGCCAATGGAATTAAGGAATATACTTTAGATCAGCAGCTTTTCAAAACTCATTATTCGCTCAAAGTACTGGGCTTACGGTACTCTTCCTTGTTGTACCTACCAATCAACAAAAAATTCAAGGTATCCTTCATTTGGATTCTCCAACTTCGGTGTTCCCATTTCAGCTTTGACTCCTACCAGGATGTCCGTATGTCCCTGTTAAAATACCAGCATCACTCAACCAGAAAAATATTCCATGCCATAGCTTGTACAATTTATCCACATGGGGTCAAACTTTTATTAATTTTTATCTTTATGTTATCTACACAAACTATTCTGCCAAATAGCATTTTGAGCATGACCCAGTATTTAATAAATCAAAGCTTTCAAAGAGACAGTGTTAAGCTTGAGAACGTTTCCTGAAATAAACCCTATGTATGCACAAAATTTCTCTATGCTAACAGGACATTCTAAATATCCATAACTTTATAAATTCAGTCCTGGAATAAAAACATATGCAGAACTATTCTAATATCCTGAGCGATAGCCACTGTCTATACATACAACAGCCATTAAAGCAGCAGTTTTACTTTATTATGATATGAACACTGAAGAATTATTTCTCTATTTATTAGTCATACTACTGACTTTACTTTCACAGGTTTACATGGTGGATTATTTCAGCTTCCCCTGGCCTCAATGTACTTTGTCAATAGATCTTGCTCACCGCAAGGGCTTGTCTACACTTACAGCACTGCCAGGGTTCAGCTACAGCACTTAGTGAAGACATTACCTATACCAATAGGAGAGTTTCTCCTGTCAGTGTAAGTACTCCACCTCTCTAAGAGGCAGTAGCTATGTCAACGGGAAAAGCCCTCCCATCGACATAGCGCTCTCTACACCGGGAGTTAGGTTGGTATGATGCGTTGCTTGGTGGTGTGGATTTTCTACATCCCTGAGCAATGAAGTTATACTGACATAAGGTTGTAGAGTAGACCAGGGCCAAGTAACCATTCTTTATGGATGGTGTCACAGTTTCAGGCTCAATCCACCTGTATTCCCCTGCCCTACACAGTCCCTTGAGGGCACTCACTTAAAAATTTTTGGCTCCCAGCCAACTTCTCTCATGGGCAGAAATCTATGTTGCACATTCTCCTGACTGGAGTTTTAAGGCTGCACAGTTCCGCAGATTACACTATACTATCCCCAGCAAGCCAGATGGCCTAACCAGGCCAGTGCCTGGCTTTCTTTCCAAAGGCTATGATCAGTATATTGCCTGCAGTTATAAGTTAGAAGGAGCTGTGTGCTAAGCAAGCATATTTATTCTTAAAACAAAAGCATTACAGAGAAAACACTTCAAAAGCCATAAGAGTTCCGATATGCATGCTAAAAGCTCACCAGAGATTACCCATTAGTCTTATGGGGCCCTAGTAGGGCAAGTCCTTCCAACCCTTCTGCAAGGCATACTGCCCCCACCTCCCCATCCTTCAGGTCAGAAGGTCCTGTCCATTTGCTGGATCAGAAAGGCAGCCTTGAGTCAGGCTCTTTATCCAAAAGTCCCTTCTTTGTTTGCTGGTCTCTGGAGAGTCCAGTTTGAACCAGTATATGTGAGTGTCCCCAAGGAGGTTGTACTTCTCTCCGGGCTTACAACCTGGCTGATTTGCCTTAATCACCCCTCTGTTTAGTTCCTGGAGGAGCAGTTGTAGCCCACCCCCATGGAGCAGAACACAATCATACATGAACCATTCATTTAAAACAATGGATCCCAAAGACACTGAACAGGGTTACAATATCTGTCACAGACAGTTAGGAGGTGGTGCAGGGGAATGAACTGGAGCTTCAGTTTGTGCTACATATCATCAAAGTCAAATTTCTGTTAATACTGTAGTGTATATTTCAGATAGTAATGATACATAAAGTGAATACTGTTATTGTGTGTATTTTTATGTTTGTATTAAAAAAGTATTAAAAAATACAAATACAAATAAATACAAATAAAAAGTATTAAAAAAATACAAACACTGTGATAAGGTCTGGACTTGACCTACAACCTCAGATTCATGATAATTTAGGAGCTTCAACTAGCAATACATAAAAACTCCTCGTATCTGTACTTACAAGCTTCACTCTTGCAGATCCACTTGTGTTTGATACAACATCTGTTTCCACTTCAATACATCTATAGTCTTCACAGCCACGGCCATCTACCCGAAGATCCTCCTAAGCATAGCCATTACCATAGTTTTGTTAAGCAATATCACTGATCCATATTAACAATAAGTCAAATGGAAATTTAAAATAACTTCCACATTTTTATCTGGGATTAACAAAGCTAAATGGAGAAAAACAGATGGTCTTGTAGTTAAAGTGCTGGAGTACGACTTGAAAGATCTAATTTAATTCCCAGTTCAGTTACTGACTTCCTGCATGAACTGTAAAATGGAGATAGAAAGTAATAATTTTATTAAGATAACGTTGAAGTAAAAAGAAAACAGTACAGAATTTAAGCATAGAAGTTTCTGGTTATCAGGGATTAAGGTACAGATTATCAAGGGGTGCAAAATTCAGTTTAGGAACGGGTGGCGTAAGGAATACATTAGAAACTAAGTTTAGAAAATGAATATTTCAGTCTTGATCCTGCAACAAGCTCCACGTGGGCAGATGCCTTTCAGCTTCAGTGCAGCTCCCTATGCATAGATGGAAACCTGTGTCCACAGCTCATTGCAGGATCAGGGCCTTAAATGCTAACCTCTTTAAGGCAATAGCTTTGTATTTTTGTAGCAACTAGCATAATGAGGCTCTGATCATAGTTGGGGCCTCCAGAGAATACATACATAAATTGATTATGAAGAAAGAACTGGGTAGTTTGAATTGCCAGCCAAAGTTACTGGTGCCTTTAAGCAAAATAATAAACTGTTCATACACCTTGCCTTCACTTAAGAGGCTTGTTGGTAATAGCTATACCAGTAAACCCTCCTAGTGTAAACATACTTTACACCAGCAAAAAAGTTATTTTGCAAATATACCTTCTTCCCTGAAATACAGGCACAAGGCCTTTTTTGATGATATGAACGGTCTCTACCTTGGCTTTTACCAGCATAAATATGCTGACCAAAAAAAAAGCACCCCACCCAACTACGTGGGCAAAACTTTTAAGTGCAGACCAGACCTAAGACAGCAACTCCAGTTAAAAAAAAAATCCTGTTGCAGAAAGGACAAATCTAGGAACTTTCATGGCTTTGTACTATCTGAGATGTGTACTGCAGACAGGAGATCAAACCTTACTATTTGTTGCATCGCTATACATCCCAAACAACTCCACCGCAGCGTCAATGGAGCTGCACTGGCAGAAAACCCAGGATCAGAATCTTCCCTCTCACGGGAGCCGCTACAGCCTGTTTATTTAAGGATGCTGTGCCGAGGCCGGTCAGAGGACAGGGATCTCGCTATGAGCGGCAGCAAAGCCAGAAGGACACAATAACTGGCTCTCGCGCCCCACTGGCCCGATCACAGCTGCGATCCACACACGGCGCAGGTCGCAAATCTCGCCTTGGCCAAACGCGCACAGGCGAGCGGCTCTGCAGGCACCCGGCCACAAGCAGCGCGGGCGGGCGAGGGGGCGAGGGGAAGGACGGCAGAGGCTAATCACTACCACCCCCGTCCGCCCCACGCCCTCGGGCCCCGCCCCCACGGCCCCGCCCGCTACCTGGACACCGTGCACGACGTAGACCTTCTCCGCCTCGCTCAGCACCACGGACGCCATGCCGCGCGCCGGGCTCCAGGCACGACGCCGGCCGCCGCCCGGTGATGCCGTCACCCAAACGCGACGAAGCTAACTCCCGCGACGTTTCCTTTCCTTCCTCCACCCGCGCGTAATTACGTCATCCGCGCTGTGATGCCTGCCTGAGGCCGGGCGCGCGAGCACCGCCTCCTCTCCCCCCCGCCCTCTCTGGGTGATTCTGAGTCACGGCCCGGTTGGTGCGCGCGTTACGGAGAGAGAGAGGGGGCTGGGCGGGCCCTAGCGTGTGACGCCCAGCGGCGGTCGGGGAGGGCGGGGCTTGAGCGGGGGGAGGGGAAGAAATGGTCCCACGTGGGACAAGTAGAGGCGCAGAGGGGAGTCCCGGGGTCCCTGTGTGAACGCGCTCCGTGCGTGCACGTGCGTTCTTGCCTGTGAGCCTACAGGAGTGGCGCGGTGTGCGTGTCTTGCATGGTGCCCGGATGTGCATCCTGTGGGTAAGGTGTCACCTCAGAGGCACGGCCCTGTGGAGGACCAAATCCCTTCTGTGTTATAAATACATTAAAAACAGATGAAAACTCTCAAGAAAGGACTGAAATGTTAACTGACAAAGCACAGAGTGGGGGACTGAGTTCTGTGGTCTGTCTGTCCTTGTTTTGTCCCCTGGTTACACAGTGTCACACAGCAAATTGCAAATCTTCAACCACTTGAAAAACTATGTTAAATTGCACAGTCAGGCTGTCAAAAATTAGGAGATGTCAGAGCTAAGGTTACCTGTGCAACTAGGGTTGCCAGCCCACCAGGATTGCCCCAGAGTCTTCAGGAATTAAAGATTAATATTTCATTAAAGATGATGTCATGTGATGAAACTTCCAGGAATACAACCAAAATTGGCAACCCTATGTGCAACGTGAATTTGCCCTCTCTTGTGTGCCTGTACTATGACTGTCTTTAATTACATGAGATACCATTTTTCCTAAAGGATGGAAAGTCCTTGAGTGTTTTAACATTTCGGTTTTTTGCTTATAATTCAGTGTGTGGACCCATGCCTTATTTAATGCATGCCAGTCAATTTTATGTCCCTGCTCCAAAACAAGAGGGTACCTGAGCTTCTCAAATAACAGGTTGCCAGAATTTTTTAAGATGGGCAAAGCAACATATATTTCTTTAACGATGTTCTCTGCGGCATGTAAAATTCTGCCCCAAACAGTTAAAGTTTGACAAAGTTATAAGCGACTGAAAACAGGGTCAAATAATAGAAAGTGTCCGGCAACCTTAATAATGGGCCGTGCTACCTGCCCATATAATAAGGAGTGAGTCAATGGAAGTGACTATAATTCCAGCTATATTCTGGCACGTTTTATACTAGAGCACTTTGGACGCTCACAAGCCACTTGGCCTGGCTTAAGCTGTAAATACAAAAGTGCTGAGCAGCAGCAACTCCTGTTGCATACTCATATATATATGTAGTGACTAGTGTGTACCAGTATGTGAATACACAAGGTGGATGTAGGACACGTCTTTATATGCATGTTATGAAAAATGTGTGTATAACACATAGACAAGGTGAGGTAATATCTTTTATTGGACCAACTTCTGTTGGTGAAAGAGACAAGCTTTTGAGCTTACATATACATATGCTAGTCTTTTTGTTCTTCTTTTCTAGTATCAGGGAAAGACCCCAAATCAGGGATAGGCACCAAAGAAACACCATAGGCCCTGTCCCAAACATTTTGCAGTTTAAATAAACAAAACAGAAGAAGGGGGAAGAGGTTGTAACATATAAACTGAACAATCCAGATATTGGGTGGGAAATGTCTATATATGTAATGTGTGCACATATAGATGCGTATGCATCCTGCACCAGTGCGGTCAATGGGAGCAGCAGCAACCCCAGTGTGTGTGTGTGTGGGTACAGCAGGTGCTTAACGAGTGCACAGAAACTGTTGTACGAGGCCAATGCATTGCAGTATATTGCGCGCCTGGGCTTCCCTCAATAGCCGGACCGGAGTACGTGCTTTGCTCAGTCTCTGTGGGAGGGACCAGGTCCCGAGGAGGAGATGACGCTGTGTCGAGGAAGTGAAAGTTCTCCGTGCTGCTCACTTCCTGGTCTCGCCCCCTCCCAGTAGCAATAGGGGGCAGCACGGGTAGCCACTGGCGCCTGCTGCCGCAGCGGCCCCGGGGCGTCGCGCGCTTGGCGTCCCTGGCTCGCGAGGCGAATGGAACGTTGCGTTGGGCGACGGAACGTTGACCCGGGTGGCTGCGAGGTTCGGAGCTCGCGCTCGCTGAGCTGGACCAGCAGCAGCTGCGGGGACCGGCGGCGGCGGCTCTTGATGCGGGTAGGTTGAGCCCCGCGGGAGCGCGGCTCGAGGGGTTCTAGCTCGCCCTGGGAAGGCGGCCAGCGGGCGGACCGGCGGCGGCCGCGCACACCTAGCCAGGGCCGGCAGCAGCCGCGCCCCCTCTGCAGGGAGATGCAGGCTGGCGACAGGCGGGTCAGGAAGCTCGAGGTGGAGCTTGGTCTTGTCTCGTGCCTGGGTGAGCAGGGGGCTCCTGCAAGATGAAGCCGGCGTCCCCAAGGGCAGGTGTGGCTCGGGCCGTGCAATGCCTGAGCTCCAGTGGGATCCCTCTCCGTTTGGCTGGGGAGATGTAGCTGGAAAGGGGTGGGGGCTGAAGAAGTGAGTCAATGCACAGGCTGCTGGGGGGAGAGAAATCTCGGGGAGTATGTGGCTAAGGAGAATACAAAACAAACAAGTGCTCCATGCACATCGAGGGTCCCTTTCCACCCGTAACGATAGTCTTTTTGGCGTATGTTCAGAGCATATAAAGAACTCCCACAGGCGGCCAGGACCCCATTTCCACACTCTTTGGGGTCCTCAAACGTCTACTGCAGTCCCTGGAAATTTGAGGGAGTTGGGGTGTGTTCAAACAGCACAGGATCAGGCCCCAACATGTCATTTACTAGAGCTGTTTCTGCCAAGGGAACATACATTTGGTCTCTGCACCAGTCTGATATTTTCACGTTGGCACTATTTAAAAGGTAAATCCCATGCAGCAGCCCTGGAAAATGTCTCGTTTTAAATAGGTTTCAGAGTAGCAGCTGTGTTAGTCTGTATCCACAAAAAAAACAGGAGTACTTGTGGCACCTTAGAGACAAACCAATTTATTTGAGCATAAGCTTTCGTGAGCTACAGCTCACTTCATCGGATGCATTCAGCTGTAGCTCACGAAAGCTTATGCTCAAATAAATTGGTTAGTCTCTAAGGTGCCACAAGTACTCCTTTTCTTCATGGGGAAATAGTTTTACTTTGTGTAATGACACATCCACTTCCAGTCTTTATCCAAGCCTAATTTAATGGTGTCCAGTTTGCAAATTAATTCCAATTCAGCTGTCTCTCGTTGGAGTCTGTTTTTGAAGGTTTGTTGTTGTAAAATTGCGACTTTTAGGTCTGTAATCGAGTGACCAGTGAGATTGAAGTGTTCTCCGACTGGTTTTTGAATGTTATAATTCTTGAGGTCTGATTTGTGTCCATTTATTCTTTTACGTAGAGACTGTCTGGTTTGGCCAATGTACATGGCAGAGGGGCATTGCTGGCACATGATGGCATATATCACATTGGTAGATGTGCAGGTGAACGAGCCTCTGATAATATGGCTGTTGTGATTAGGCCCTATGATGGTGTCCCCTGAATAGATATGTGGACACAGTTGGCAACAGGCTTTGTTGCAAGGATAGGTTTCTGTGGTGTGTGTTTACCAGCAACCACAAAACAAAAACACTAACCCAGGAACCTATCCTATTCTTTTTAAATAGACTTTTACCTATTTTAAAAAAGTTTACTTTACTTCATTTAGGCCTTCAGCATCCCAGCACTGTTTGTGTTACTGAACAATGCTGTTCAAAACAGTATATAAACACATCCTTTAATGAGGTGCCATGGGATTTAAATTCTGCAACCTCAACAGTTGGACAGTGCCTTGGAAACCTAGAATTGAATTAAAATAAAGAAGTTTGAATGCCGGTGAGATCTTTAACAAGTATGTGAACAGTTAAACACTTGCACTCATCTGAAAAGTGCTTTGTACATCATTTGATGTTTAATTGGGGCTTATAACGGCATACTACTGTATAAAAGTTATGACCTCCACTTTTATGTATAAGCCATCCTAAAACTACGATGCTACAAGACAGTGGCTCTCAACCTTTCCAGACTACTGTATCCTTTTCAGGAGTCTGTTTTGTCTTGCGTACCCCAAGTGTCACCTCACTTAAAAACTTGCTTACAAAATCAGACATAAAAATACAAAAGTGTCATAGCACGCGATTACTGAAAAATTGCTTCTTTCTCATGCTCACAATATAATTATAAAATAAATCAATTGGAATATAAATATTGTACTTACATTTCAGTGTAACTTATATAGAGCAGTACCAACAAACCATTGTATGAAATTTTAGTTTGTACTCACATCACTAATGTAAAACTAGGCAAATATTTAGGTGAGTTGATGTACCCCTTGGAAGACCTCTGCGTACCCCCAGGGGGGTACATGTACCCCTGGTTGAGAACCACTGCATGTTAGTGAAAAGTAATTCCTATTGATTTATTTTTAATACTTTTGAATATTTCTAGAGCTCTTTCAACATTATCATAAAATAATTTTTCCATAAATATATAAATTTGGTATTGTTCACTAGAACTCTTCAGCATTTGAGAAAACCTAGGAAAATAAATCACAAATACTCATCTTTCACCTGCAATCCTTTTTTGAATCTGTTCCCAGAGTGCAGATCAGAATTCTGTTAGATTTTTCTTGGCTCCCAATCCAAATAAGGGCAAGTATATTTTCAGACACACAAATGAGACTACTGTGCTGGACATGCAAGGTGATGAAGATACAAATAAGCCAGAGGGAGAGAGGCTTTCACTCAAATTATGACAGCATATTGTTCCATTATGACGGTAACATAGAAAGTGTGTTGATATTTTACAGCAAATGACTGCCATCTACAACAAGACAGTAGGATCTTGAGGCCAGTTTCAGTGAAAGTTATGTTTTTCAGTATTTGATGAAAGCAACAAAAAGGCTTTTTTAAAATAAGGTAATGACTGTCAATGTTGAAACTTTTATGTAAAAGTGAAGCTACATGTTTGTTTCTGTCATTGCCTTTAAAAGTGCTTTAAAGAGCCCGTCCTACAAACACTAGTGCTGTTTGACTGTAGAATTTACTACCATGAGTAGTTCTTATTTCATCTGTGGGACTATCATAATAAGAAGTATTGCATTTGGACAAAATGTTCACGGAAATTTAGAGACAAGGACCCCAGAAGTTTGATGCAATTGCAGATCTTTTTTGTCATAAAATAAACTTTATTTTTCCAAATAAATGGAAGGTTTTCAGCATATTAATTCTTACTAGAAATATTTTGCATCATTTTTAATAATAAAGGTTCTATTTCAATTCTTAGTTTTTATTTAAATGTTGCAGTTATAGATAAACTACACATACCTATTTAAAAACTTGTTCAATAAGATAAGCCCTTCACAAAGAAGTTTTCATGACAATATTTGTTTTATTAATCCAGCTGTAGGAATAGGGTTTAAGAGGAATGCTTTTCACCAGGCATAATAGTGCAGTGAAGACAGAATTATTATGCTGCTCTCTTGGGTAGAAAGTTGTCAATTTCTCGCCTTTCCTATGGACCGTTCTCTTTACTCTGATGAGGTTAAGAGAAGAAACTGTGACTACAAATCTTAATAGGTTTCTGTACGAGAGATGTGGGAACTTGTCTTGTGATGACATTCTTGTTCGCTTGTTTGCATTTTTAATGACTAGTTTTTCTTATCTTAGGACAGGTCTACACTTAAAAAGTTGCATTGGTGTGCCGCTGTTGTGCTTAAGTGAAGACACTGCTATGTCAATTAGCACAGTTAATCTACCTCTCCGAGAGGCAACAGCTATGTTGATGGGAGAGGCTCTCCCATTGACATAGTGCTGTCTACATGGGAGGCGAAGGTCGGTATAACTGCATGCTCATGGGTTATATGACATAGTTATACTGACATAGGTCTGTAGTGTACACTTGGCCTTAGTGTAACAAGCATCTTAGTATAATATCTCGGAATGCTACTTTCCTGCCCTTAGTTGTGAAAGAGGTATAGTAATACATCTCACTTGATCGTTCTGTTGAAATGAGGACAATATGAAAAATTTGCTCTATGAGCTGACCAGGTAAAGTAGTCCAGATGTGACTAACAGTAGCTAGTGAATCCTCTTTGTTCTATGCTCTAGATCAGCATAATCTCAATGTTAAGGTCATTTCAGAGAAGATTAGAAATTAAAACTATCCTAATTGTAGTTGAATATACTCCAGGGTGCATGAACTCAAGGAATAAAAGGTTGCTTGCAATCTCATTAATATTGCAGTGCAGTAAGTTTTATCAGCAACTCCCCTTATATATCCTGCACTAGGTCAGTGGTTCTCAACTAGGGGTACGCAGAGGTCTTGCAGGGGGTACTCAGCTCATCTAGGTATTTGCCTAGTTTTACAACAGGCTACGTAAAAATCACTAGTGAAGTCAGTACAAACAAATTTCATACAGACAAATTATACTATACACTGAAATGTAAGTACAGTATTTATATTCCAGTTGATTTATTTTATAATTATATGGTAAAAATGAGAATAAGCAATTTTTCAGTACTAGTGTGCTGTGTCACTTTCGTATTTTTGTCTGATTTTGTAAGCAAGTAGTTTTTAAGTGAGGTGAAACTTGGGGGTATGCAAGACAAATCAGACTCCTGAAAAGGGTGCAGTTGTCTGGAAAGGTTGAGAACCACTGAGGTAGATGACTAGTCAGAATACTTGCTACCACAGGCTTTGGGATAGCCGAAGCCTCTAGAAAATCCTTAGCATATAGCAGTATTGAGGAGTAGACTTAGAGACAAAAAAGATTGTGTTAATGCTCCATTCAGATGAATGGAGGAGTGTTGAATGGGGTGCTGTGGGCACTTGTCAGTATTTTCCTCAGTGACTTGGATGATGAGGTTTAAATGCAGTATAGTCTTCAGAAATAAAACTGGCTGAAATCAGTACACTGAGATTCTATAAAGGTAAGATAAAGAAGTGCACATAAAGAAGGGATATTCAAATGCGCAAATATAGAATGAAGAAAGAATGGGAAGGTAGTAGTACAGTGCCAGAGAGAGGAAGATCAAGGTGTTATAATGGGTGATAAATCGAGAGAGCTATCAATGTGACGCTTGTTGCCAAAGGAAAAAAAAAATCCCAACCCAGCTGTGATATTCATGTTGTTAAAGCACAATATAACATGCAGCGTAACTATTCTGGTTTACTCCATATTGGTTAAACCTCACTTGGAGTACTGTGTTCACATTTGGGCACTATACTTTAAAGGGTGATGTTCAGAGGATAGCAACTAAAATTATTAATATGTAATATGTAAAGGAACATTAAAATGAGCACAGGGATTAATTATTCTTGGCAGTTAGTCTCAGCAAACAGAACAAGAAATACCAGGCTTAAACTGCAGTAAAGAAATTCTAGATTAGAGATGATATTTTAAAATTAATTTTGGGGTTAATCTGTAGAATTTTCCTTACAACTTCAAGAATATCAGATTTTTCTATACTTTCTAATAGGAAAGTAGATTCTCACAGTCCAACTTGATATAATGAAACAGGCCCCCTTGCTACGAAATAATAATTTTCACAGCAGCTTCATTCTTTGAATAGAAATGAAATAGTGAGAGGGTATATCTAAAAACTGTTTAGAGATATATATTTTTAAAATGTGCATGATGTGTCATGGTGTATCTATTTTAGGTACTGTACTTATATGGCTCCCATCACTTTAGTATGTGAGTGTCTTTAATATGTTTATCCTCACAACATCCCTGTGAGGTAAATTTTCTTCCCATTTTACAGATGGGGAATTGAGGCCTGGAGACACTAGTGACTTTTCCAACATCACACAGGAAGTTTGTGGCAGACTAGGGAATTGAGCTCAGGTCTTCCAAGTCCCAGGTTAGAGGCCTAACCGCTGTATAATTTTCTCTCTGGTCCAGAGAGAAAATTAACTTTTAACTCCAAGTGCCCTTTCTGCCTTAACACCTTATCTTGGACACTATTGAAAATTATAGTTGTAAGTTCCAGCTTCTTATTTACGATCAACACTAAAAATTTACTACTGTGGTTCTCTGGGTAACACGCTCCTTACAGCATTATGTTTCCCAAAATGGATACTGAAAATTGTATTCACCACATAAGCAGGCTTTTTCATGATGACTACCTTTTGGCAGCAGCGGCGGAGTGGAGGAATATTGTGAATTACACTGGTCTGGGGTCTGGAACTTGCTATTTTAAGTCCTGGGTCAGCATCAAAATAGCAAAGCTGGTCTAAAAGACCAGCTTTATTTCTCCTGTCCAACATCTTGTAAAGCTTTATAGCCAGCAGCAGAAAGCAAGATGTCTCCATTCACTGTTTTGGTCTTCAGCTCCTTTGTGTTTATATTTCCAGGATTTATACCTCTCTCTTTATGCAGCTTGAGTAGCTGATGTTTCTTTAGCCCTTTCTAAGCCCACAAGATGTTAAGAAACAAGAAAACTTCAGACCTCTTTGTTCCAGTGGCAGTCAAAATGTGGTGTGCGTAGGGTTTCTTTTTCTTAAATGCTACTGAATGTTCTGAAACTGTCGTAGATCTATTCAGGTGCTTAATCAAAAGCCTATTGACATCAATGAGCTTTGGATCAGGCCCTTAATCTTTTTTATGTCCCGTCGCCTGCTACTAGACATGGTTCACCCTGATCCAATGCATCCTTACATTTGACAGGTCGCCCAGCACAGACTTCGCCTTTCTTTGTTACCTTCTTCCTGAACAAAGCAAGGTGGAAATGCTCTTAACAGGTGGTGATGTGGTTAGTGCTTTAAACAATGCCAAATACCATAAATTGATTCTTTCTGTAAAATAACTTCTAATGCAAGGTAAACTCATACAGAAATTATATAGATTTCAAACAAAAACTGTTACCATCTGCTCTGAGAAATAGTGTACCACAAACAAAGCTCTTTGTTACTTAGGACAGAAAATATATTTATATCTCTATATTTGAGAAACCATGGGCCTCATTCTCCTTTCACTTACACTGATGTAATTCCATTGACTAGTGGAGTTACTGCTTATTTACACTGTGTAAATGAGAGGAGAACTGGGTTCTGTGTCTCTTAAGCAACCATATCTCCTCATTGCCTATTAGATACAGCCCCATCTGCTGCTGTCAGAAATGAGTCTCCAGACCTGATTTTCAACCTCACAAACAAGCCAGGCCTGCCTTTGAAGCTGGCTAATTTCTACCTCCCCCTACTCCTTGGGGAAAAGTTCTCTTTACATATACTTATCCTTGCTCAACTGCTTTCTTCAGAAATATACAACTCCAATTAAACCTCCACCCAAAACCAGACGCTTCAAATCAAGAAATAAAACTCTGGCCTCTGATGTATTGGCTAAGAAGAGTTGATTTTCATAAAGCTGTTAGCTATAGCCCCATGTACACTACACAAATAACCACATGAATACAGTTTTTCATTATAAGTGCATAAAGACCAACTGGATTGGGCCCCATTGTGCTAGGTACTGTACAGATACAGAGCACTGTAATAGGTAGCCCCTGCCCTGAAGAGCTTACAATCTAAATAGACAAGACAGGCACTGCGTGAAGAAAATGGGTAATAACATGAAAGCAGAGTGAACAATGTGATTTTAAATTTTTTTTTTGGTGGGTTTAGTTAGGAGGGGATAACATAAATGGAAAGGAAAAAGGGGAGAGGGGATATCAAGGGGTCAAAGGGGATGGGGGATAAGAGGGGCAGGTGGTGGAGTAAAGCTTAAGGTGAAGAGACTGTGAAGGAGAGGGCTAGACCAAACAGCCAATCAGCACAGGGCAGAGAAAGTCCAGTCAGAACTATACAAAGTTCTCTGAATGCCCAAACATTTGGCTGTTGCTCCAGCTGGGGTCCCTGGCTGCTTTTTCTCTGCAGGTTTTCCCCAAGACCCAGTATGGAGGGGAGGCACCACCCTGGGCAGTAGTGTGGTGGAATCTCACAGTTGTGCATCTGAGGAGGTGCTAGGGGGAGGAGCAGCCCTGGCTTGCGACCATTTTACCCCCTTCTCTCCCAGTGCTGCAGTCCCTGGTTTGGCTGCTTCTGCAGCTGCTCCTACCAGCTCCTACCTAACTACTGTGCTGTGTTTTGTTAAACAGTTGAAGCATTTCTCCCCAGCAGTGGATGCTTTGCAGTGGTGGGTTAAGGGATTCCTATGTATAATTTATAAGTCTTCTGATTAAAGTTTGAAAAGCACTTGGGCTCCTTCTGGACAAGAAGTTCTATATAAACTTTAGATTATCTCTAAAACACAGTTTTATGTTCATTGACTTTCTTTTTGGTTTTCAGCTCCCTTTCTGCAGCCTGGAATCTTCTACATGTTTCTCACACCGTTATGTAGAAGGAGCTTTCTGAGTTTCATTTGTAAAGCAGGAGACGACTATTTTTGATTCTTTTTCACATGCAAGTATGAACATTATAACCTATGATGATTACTCCAATCCACCGCTTCAGAGATATTGAGAGGAAACCTGAATACCTCCAGCCAGACAAGTGTGTTCCACCTCCTAGCCATAGTTCCTTGGGAGCAATGTGGTTTATTCGAGACGGCTGTGGTATTGCATGTGCTGTGGTGACCTGGATGCTTGTCGTCTATGCAGACTTTGTAGTCCTTCTTGTTATGTTAGTTCCATCAAGAGACTACATTTATAGTGTGATCAATGGGATATTGTTCAACATGTTGGCTCTCCTGGCTTTGGCTTCACATTTTCGAGCTATGCTATCAGATCCAGTAAGTATACTGTTATGTTTTTCTTGCCTGTCAGATGTGGGAGAACTTGGGCTCTTGGTGAATAGCAGATTTAAATAACTTGTCTGTCATCATGATCAGTAAGCTTGGTGTTGTGGTATACTAATATATCATTCTGTTGTGTCAGATTGACTCACCAAATGTAAGGGACCAAATCTCAGATTCTCTTGAGCCTGGTATGAACAGCTTCCTATTAGTGTGAAAGGGGGGGGGAGAGAGAGAGAGACTACCACCCTTTTACTCACCAGTACTAGATATAATGTTTTTGGCTTGTCATGACCTGACAAGCCGGAAAGCTAGAAAAACTTGTTTCAATTGTCTGTCTCATCAAATGTCACTACAGCGGAATGGGATAGGAAAAAAATTACAATGACTTCTGTAGTGAAAAAGTTATGATTCTTTTTCACATTAATGATTTAGCTGAATTTCTTGGATTATACCTACTAATTTGTATGTCTGTTTTTAGCATTAAATCCCCCTAATAATATCAGCCCATATCTCCATGGCTTCAAAAATGTACCAGATTCCTTTTAACTGGAAGGCTAAACAATCTAAGGTTAGATGTGAAACACAAGATGGATAGTGCAGTATCCAGGGACTTTGCCTTGGTCAAAAACACAGTCCTACCCTCCTTTCTCCTCTCATCTCTGAACTATTGGTAGGGGATTTTTATCAGAGTGCTATCCCTAAATCTTCTTTGATGGCCCTGTCTTTCATATTTGGCTAGTAGATTAAATTTAAAGTTCTTGTTCTTCTAGCTGACAAAAAGGAGAGTAAGTTTTGTCTCTTCTGCCTTAAGAGTCTAGTGGCTGATGTTGGGAATCTCTGACACTCTGATCCCTCCCCCAAGCTCCACTTTGCGGGTGAAACCCCCCATCATGAAAACTCTAATGCCTGTATTTATTGCTTAGCTTGCATCTTATTCAGGAACAGCAGCAGGGAACTTACCTAGTTCTGGGCAGTTTCACTGCAGCTTACTGTAAACTTGGTCAACTATGAGCGGTAGTGGAGGTACTGAAGCTTTTGTCGTCAGACTCAGGAATACAGCACTGCAGCAATTTACATACAGTTCGTATTTTGAAGGATTTTTTTTTATTGTAAATTATTTGAATTACAGTAGTGTCCCTAAGGGGTCTGATTGTGCTAGGCATTGTATAGAGATAGAGTAAGAGACAGTTCTCGCCATAAAGAGTTTCCAATCTAAATAAAACAGGCAGACAAAGGGTAGGAGAAAGGGACATAATGCAGAAGTAGAGTGATAAATAAATGTGGAACTAACAGGACATTTACTTATTTATGGTGGCTGGCAGAGGGGCTAATGGGTGTTAAGGTTTTTTTTCAGTTATTTGGTTGGGTTTTGTTATGAGAGTATCAGCTAAACAGAAAGACAAAAGAAGGGGGGCATAGAAAGGAGATGATGGGGACAGAATAGGTGCAGTGAGGCAGAGGTGAGGAAACTGTGAAGCGGTGGGGCTAGAGCAAAGAGCCAGTCACTACAAGGAAGAGCGTGTCCAGTGTCAAAAATGTAGTTGAAAGCATTGTTGCTATAAAAACTCTTCCACCAAAAGTCAATTGTAATGTTATTTTCCTAACACAAGATTTATTTTAATATGTACCTCCACACTAGCAGCCATTCGTGTGGTATGTTTCAGGCTTTTTTAATTAACGTTTTTGCAGTGAAATTGTTAATATTAAGGTTGGATATCTTTAATTTCCTGTCTTTTGAGAGTTAAGGTTCCTTCAGTAACATTAACTCAGCAATATTAAAGATGCATATTTAAGGGGAGACTTCAAAAACTGCATTGTCACAGTGAGTGCAAGAATTTTAGCTAATCTTATTTCTTTTTCTGGGCCTTATTTTTAAAGTGGTATTTGTATACTTAACATCTCTCTAAAAGTTCTCATTTAAAAAACCCAAAACAAATTGGCCGTTTATGAACAGACGCAAAATATGTTTGTCTGCAACATGTTTACTTACATTAAACATTTCAGTTGTGTAACTTTTATGAGAACACATGCATATGTCCAGTTTGCTGTGACACAAGGTCAGATGACAAGTCCAAGTAAACAGATAAGGATTACACCCTGCTTATTATTTACGTACTATAGTATGGCCTTACAATAGTGTCCTTTCTGTATCTTTTCTCTTGTTCAATCAAATTGTGAAATATTATGGTTGATGTTAGGGAAACGTGCATCTCTCTTCCCTTCCAAGAGCTTGAACTGGGTCTCTTGATGTTATTGGTGAACACTGTGGGTACTGAAATCTTTGTTTTCATTTCCAGGGTGCTGTGCCCAAAGGTAATGCCACAAAAGAATTCATTGAGAGTTTACAACTGAAGCCAGGACAGGTGGTTTATAAGTGTCCAAAATGCTGTAGCATCAAACCAGACAGAGCACATCACTGCAGGTACAGTCACTTGTGTGTTGTGATTTAATGATGTGATGCTGTGGTTCAAGGTTAAAAGAAAGCACTTATGTGGTGGATCAGTGTACTGTTGTAGAATGGGATTTCCATGGGGGCTTAAAGGATTTATGCACCTAACTCCCATTGAACCCTAATGTGAGTTGGGTGCCTAACTCTGTTAAGTTCCTCTGAAAATCCCATAAGACCATAAAATGTAGCATGTTCCAGAATACTTTGATATTGTGCCTTTTGACATTATGTCGCATCCTGATTGTGAGGCACTTCGCTACCTGCCCTTGTCTATGCCTGGCCTGGGGTCAGCTCCTTGACCCTTCTGGCAACACAAGCACTCCCCTCCAGGCCTTGCGCTCTCTTTACAGGTTAGCAATAGGGATACACCAACCCCTGAGTCCTGCGAGAATCCCCTTTAGTGTCCAGCCCCTGCTTCATTGGACACTCCCAGAATTACCAGGCCTGCTGTTCCCAAATGAAAAGTACACCACAGCTTACTAATTCACCTTAGAACACAGCTCCACTTCACACACAACCAGGGTCAGCCTTATGGGTGGGCCACCCGGGTGACTGCCCAGAGTGCCGTGGTCAGGGTGGAAGTGGGGGTTGTGCCGTGAGGCAGTGCAGAGGTGCATGCTGCTGGCTGGCAGGGGAACACCGCAAACTCGCAGAGGCGACACGTGCGGGGTGCCCAGATTTCTCCCGGCGGCGGAACGTGGGGCAGGGGTGTGAGCAGTGATGCACAGATACTACTTGTCCCCTCCCCACAACGTTCCTCAGTGTCCCCTTAGGAGGCTATGATGTGAGGAGCAACGCCAGGGCTCCCTGCATCCAGGTCACTTTCCCCACCTGGACTGTGCTGTGAGGCGAGCATCAGAAGTTGATGCTCTCCTGCCCTCCCCTTACACAGCCCAAGTAAGTTCATGGAGGATAGGTCCATCAATGGCTATTAGCCAAGATGGTCATGGATGCAACCCTATACTCTGGGTGTCCCTAAAACTCTGGTGGCCAGAAGCTGGGACTGATGGTCAGAAGCTGGGATTGATGATAGGATGAGTCACTTGATAAATTGCCCTGTTCTGTTAACTTCTTCTGAAACAGATTTTAAGCTGTCGTGGGATAAGAGGAAACATCCTCTCATGGATTGGTAACTGGTTAAAAGATAAGAAACAAAGGGTAGGGATAAATGGTCAGCTCTCAGAATGGAGAGAGGTAAATAGTGGTGCCCCCTAGGGGTCTGTACTGAGACCAGTCCTCTTTAACATATTCATAAATGATCTGGATAAAGGAGTAAACAGTGAGGTGGCAAAATTTGCAGATTATACAAAACTACTCAAGGTAGTTAAGTCCCAGGCAGACTGCGAAGAGCTACAAAAGGATCTCTCAAAACTGGGTGGTTGGGCAACAAAATGGTAGATGAAATTCAATGTTAATAAATGCAAAGTAATACACACTGGAAAACAATCCCAGCTATACATATAAAATGATGGGGTTTAAATTAGCTATTCCCACTCAAGAAAGAGATCTTGGAGTCATTGTGGGTAGTTCTCTGAAATCATCCACTCAGTGTGCAGCAGCAGTCAAAAAAGCAAACAGAATGTTGGGAATCATTAAGGGAAAGATAATAAGACAAAAAATATCATATTGCCTCTATATGAATCCATGGTATGCCCACATCTTGAATACTGTGTGCAGATGCGGTCGCCCATCTTCAAAAAGGTAGATTAGAATTGGAAAAGGTTCAGGAAAGGGCAACAAAAATTATTTGGGGCATGGAACCAGGGCTTTGGAGCTGTGCTCCGGCTCCACTCCAGCTCCAGGCAAAAACCTGCTACTCCACTGCTCTGGAGCTGCTCCGTGCTACAGCTCCGGGCTCTGCTCCAAAGCCCTGCATGGAACAGCTTCTGTATGAGGAGAAATTAATAGGACTGGGACTTTTCAGCTTGGAAAAGAGATGGGGCAGGGGGGAAAGAGGGGATATGTTAGAGGTCCATAAAATCATGACTGGTGTGGAGAAAGTAAAAAAGGAAGTGTTATTTACTCCTTCTCATAACACAAGAACTAGGGGTTGCCAAATGAAATTAATAGGCAGCCAGCTTAAAACAAACAAAAGGAAGTATTTCTTCACACAACGCACAGTCAACCTGTGGAAGTCATTGCTGGGGATGTTTTGAAGGCCAAGACTATAACAAGGTTAAAAAAAGAACTAGATAAATTCATGGAGGATAGGTCCATCAATGGCTATTAGCCAGGGTTCACAGGGATGGTGGCCCTAGCCTCTGTTTGCCAGAGACTGGGAATGAGCGACATGGAACGGATCACTTGATGATTACCTGTTCTGTTCATTCCCTCTGGGGCACCTGGCACTGGTCACTGTCGGAAGACAGGATACTGGGCTAGGTAGACCTTTGGTCTGACCCAGTATGGCCTTTTTTCATTCTTATGTAACAGTCACTGTCAAATGACAGGATACTGGGCTAGACGGACCATTGGTTTGAACCAATATAGCCATTCTTATGACATATAGAACATATATTTTTAAGCATATATACATAACTCTTCAAATATTTTCTGTACATACATCAGTCAGTGATTATGATGACTTGGCTTTCTTTAGAGACCTTACATTACATTCTTTGTCAGACTTGTATGTAGATACCAGACCCAGGAGATCCCTCTAACCCTTATGTACTCCTGTCTGGTTGAAAGAGATCCCTGGGTCACAGACACATTTGAACCAAAATTATTCACCAGTGGTTAAAAGCAATTGAAAATGACATGTGAGTCGTGCACAGTACTTTCTTTGTCATTGTTTATTTGTGGACCAAATTTCTCCAAGCATGTCAGTCACTTGTCTGTTACAAGTGTGGAGTTTTAAAAGGCATAAACATATCTTAATTATTTTTAAATCACTTTTTCACAGATATGAAATATAATATTAGTTAAAGGAAAGTATGTTTTCTGGGAGAGTGGTGTATAAATACAGGGAAAGCTGTTGCACACAGCTCAGCGGTGAGCGCATGAAAGTTATAGTTGCAGTTATAAGCAGCAAGACTGCAGAAGGTTGATATAGCTCTTACTGTATTACATCTTACTTTGATAGTCTGCCACTGGGTCCTCTGTTGTCGGGATAATCAGTGAAGTATGGTATGGGTATGTGGGAATGAAACAGGTAGAGAATGAGTGAAAGAGAGCGAACTGAGGGGAAAGACCCAGAGAGGACATATAAATAAAAAGTCATAGAAGGCAGAAATCAAAATGTGTGTAAATCCATAAAAAGTGACATGTCTCAAAACACTAGTATCTTCATTCACGGACCTGATGGCATTTGTGACTTTGGCTTTAATTAGCCCTTTTATTACTACTAAATTAATTTTAAAACTTGCTTTAAATAGGTAATTTAATTTCAGATTTCCATATTTTGATTTACAAAGGACAAACAAAAATTATGGGACCTAAATTATGCATGTGGTGGGGAGTCGGGGCTCCCCCCCCATTCCCTCTCTTTTTTGATATGACAAATATCCTTGGGGGAGCTATTCACAATAAGCTTTTAGTATTAAAACAGTTACTTAGGTCACTAATTTCTAATGATTCTTTTTTTTAGTATAAAATAGAAAAACTTTGTTTCAGTGGGTAGTTAAGTGATCTGTGTGAGCGTTGTCATTCCCCCTACCCCCCCCCCCCCGTGTATTCGAGGATTTGCATGAAGGGACTGCAGTTACTTTCTGGGGGGTTAGGCTGCTTTGTGTAGCCATCTGTCTTTTTAGATTTGGGGGAGCTATAGCTACCATTAACAACAACCCTCTTCTGCTACCTAGGGATGTAAAATGTTAACCCGGGGTTAACAGTTAAGGTGGGTTAACCGGTAAGACTAATGCTTACTGGTTAACTGGTTAACATTTTACGTCGCTAGTTCTCAGGCCATCTCCAATGCCCATTGAGGTCCATGGGAATCCTTTAAAATAAATAATTCGCTGTTCTGTGTGTGGGTGTTTCTCACAGCAGGAACATACGCATGCACAGCAGAGGGTGTTGGTTGCCATGTGCATGAGAGTTCCTGCTGTTCACATGCTTGTATGAGGGAGCTGCACCCAACTAACTGCTCCTTCTGGCCCTGAGTTTCTGGCTGTGCCCCTGGGAAGGAAGCAGGGTGATCCCTACTAACCTTTTGGCCCTGTCTCTGCCATCTAGCCCCCTGGAAGCATCTGAGGGTGGAGGGTCTTTGCTGCTTCCCAACTCCCTGCCTTGCCCTAGTCTCAGCTCCTGGAAGTTACTCCAGCTCCAGTTCTCACCCTGTCCCACCATTGGCTCCTGCAGGTGATGTCATAGCTCCAGCCCCTTGCTGCCTCCCATCCCTACTCCTCAGGACTCCTGTGTGGGCTACAGTCTCTGTCCCCCCTTGGCCTGGCTGCTCCACGTCATCCCTCTGGAGGGGACTCCTGCCCCCTCTTCTCTCAACCCAATGTCTCCTGGCTTCCCCCGAGTGCTGCAGAGAGTAGGTGGTAGATACCTACTTCCCAGCTAGTCATCTTCTCTATCTCCAAGATCTTGTGGAGCAGCCTGGGGAAAGGGTACCCGTTCCTCCTGTGGTATGCCCTCTGGCTCATAAATGGATCCAAGGGATAACAAAGAGGACGACTTGCTCCCTCGCTATGTCTCCTGGTATTCCCTAGCTCTGTGAATGGGTGTAGGGAAAGAAAGAGGCTTCCCTTACTCTCCTTGTGCTCTCCTGCACCCACATGGGAGTTCATTAATGAAGGTACTGCTGGGCATGCCTTGTTCCCTACCTCTTTCTGATAGTGCTCTTTTGCCCCCTGCAGAGGTTTGGGGAGTAAAAAATAGTCTTCCTTGGGGCCATAGCCAGAGGTCCAGGGAAGAGGAGAGCCTCTCTAGCCCTGGACTTATACACAGGACAGTCTCTACTGCTGTGTCACTCTTGCAGAGATGGGAAGAATGTGCATGTGAGCTACTGGCAGAATAGTGCATGAGACAGGACATGAAACTGACAAACAATAAGACGGCAAGACTGATTATACCCAAAGGTGCACGTGCACACCTAATAAACTGACAGAAAACAATAGTTTTTCTATCTTAGTCACCATAGATGGTGTGTTATCAAAAGGACAATTTTAAAGCAACTAATTCTGTTTTTAAGTTAGGGTGCCCTTTTAAATATGCATGCTTTAAAATCACAATAATTTTAAGCTTCTTCCTGCAATACAAAGCTTCTTGTGTTAGTGATGACTACTGAATCTGGGAGCAAATATTGACCTGAGTAACTTTTTGTCTGCTTGAAGAGAAAAAAAATCTTACGTCCCAGTCCTGCAAAGCCTGCTGGTCCTGAGCCTGCACAGTCTGACGTTCAAGATCTTAGTTGTTTATCTGCATCTTGGGAATTCTGTTTCTTGCCTTTGGGGACTGCTTCCTTCCAGGATCTGTAATAAATACGCGACTGTTTCAAAATAAGGATGTTAATATTTATTAACTTTTTTTTTGTTTTATTTTTATTGTCAGTGCATTCTTGTAATTAGTTTCTTTAAGAGTTTGAGTTTTTTCTTTAAGGTCAAACAGTTTAACTTTATAATAAGAAAAATATAATAAGCAGAACCCTCCATTTCTCTGTTTAAATCCTGTGAGGGTTGTTTTGAATCCACATATTCCTGGTTTTCATATTTGGTTTTCATATTTTTTTGTGCATTTTTTAGTACCAGGGGGACTGGCTTTCTTCACTGCTTTATCAGATGATAGAAGAGTAAAAAGCCTTTTATGATGTTAGTTGGAGATTTAAAATGCCAGTGAAGCAGCAGTGACTAGTAAGCTAAGAGATACTAACATTACAATGAATTAATCATCTTTGATTGTTTGACTCCTAAGCACAATATGCATTTGCAGGACTTTTATTTTTTAGAATTTGTAATTAGAATTGTTACATACACTTGAGTGCTTCTGCCCACTTTTGCTGAGTGCTTAAAATCTAATTTTTTAATTGTGGTGATGGTGTCTCAGTGAAAGGCACTGGTAAATTAATCCAGTGCCTGATTGACTTCATTGCCAGGTATTTTTCTGAAAAATTAATTTGAATTTTCCATTTTTTTTCAACAAAGCTCCTGTCAGAGTAAATTTTAATAAATTGTAACAAATTACTGAAATTGTACCTAAGGTTATTCTGAGAAGTTTATCCATTGCAGTATCCTATGATTTTATTTTTTATTCTACTACACTGAAACTCTCACAGAGCCCAGCGGTCAAACCTAGACTAGATTTAAATCAATTTCATTTCATTTGCTTAAATATAATATATAATGTTCAATCTCTGTATATTAGTGGAACCATTAATTATAACGTTACTTTGTTGTGATTTGACATCTACTTTTTGTACGACTGCAATTTGGGACCATAGGTTGATTGACAATTTTGAACAGAAGTAGCCAAATTAACGTACGTACGTACGTACGTGTATGTGTGTGTGTGTCTCCAGGTGCCCAATATTTTCTTTGTACTCTTGCTGTATTTTCTGAAAACCACAAACTATAAAGATATTCTTTATTGCAGTGTTTGCAAGAGGTGTATTCGGAAAATGGATCATCACTGTCCATGGGTTAATAACTGTGTAGGAGAGAATAACCAGAAGTACTTTGTACTGTTTACAGTAAGTTGTTTATTGAGTAAATTTTTCTGTCCAAGCAGAGACAATGAAATTCCAAGCATGACTGTTAAATGGCTGTGAAGATAGGTTTTTGTTTGTTTGTTTGTTTTTATCTTAGTATAACCAAACTGGGAAATATGTTACAAATTAGCAAAATTTAAATAATTAGGGAGAAAATATTATAAAAGAGCAGGAATAAGTCATCACAAAATGTACTTTGCTATTTATTTTGTCAATTTGTGTAGTATTGGTTAGTATAATTCATAGTGTAGCAGTAAATATACCTCACAAAATCCTCCACAGTAATAATAATGAAGTCTCAATCAGCTCTTTGGGGGAGGGGCTGACTTTTTGTTCTGTATTGATATTTTATTTATGCAGCACTTTGCACAATAGAGTTCAGGTCCATGAGTAGGGCTTTGAGATGCTACAGTAATACAAATAATAATAATATTGTGCCTCATTATTGCATCTGCTGTTACCTCTTTGCTGCGAGGGTGGAGAGAAACCTCATTTTTTTGGCAAGGATTACAAGGGTTCTACTTGTAAGTAGCCAATGTTGGCACTCAAAAATCAGGCAGAAATGCTTCTGATTTTCTGACGGACTGTGTCCTGTATCTACTGTATATAGAGAAAAAGCATGGGAGTGCAAACTTAATTACCATATTTTCCATGTAAACAGTGAAATCTGGGCTTTATTGAAGTCAACGACAAAAATCCCAGGATTTCACCCAAAAAATTCATGTCAAGAGAATATTACAGCTGCACAATTGACTTTTAGTGTTGTTCCATTTTATCAGTAATCTTTTATGGTAAGTCTCTGGGTGGAAGATGGTCTGTTATGATATTAGGAAATAGGTGCAAGTCTTCAGTCAGGCTTGAAGTAAGAATTGAAAATAAATGTATGAACCCTTTAATTTGCTTTTCACTTTATGGTGTATTCTGATATTGCCAGAGGCACAGCTAGTTAGCTTTCTTTTTGAGGCACAATACCTAGTTTAGTTGAGAAAACATGAAAATATTTATGCCGGGTACTTTTCCACTGGACTAGTCTCTTCTCCTCCATCTGATTAAGCCTGTAGTATCTTAAAAGGGAAATGTAAATGAATCTCTCCTTTCAATAACCAGATTGGAATACCATTCCTAGCTGGTTCATCCCAAATGTGGGATGTTGGATTTCAGTTTCAGTTAAATTTGACAAGTCTGTATTTCAAAGTGGACCATATTAAACACCTAATCTGTCTGAGGAAAAGATTAAACAAGTTTTTCTATTAAGCTCTTTTTAAGGGCTCAAGAGGTGGAAGGATGGTAGCACATAAAAGTGTCAAAAGAAAAATATTTTTCCACTGTCTTTCACTTGCACCTCATTTGGAAGATATTATGTTCCCTAATTCGTTGGTATTTGTCTCATTCTGTACCACTACAATGAAAACCTTCCTACGTACATGTGTGTATGTTGTAAGTGGTGGGGGTAGCAATGCCCGTAGTTAACAATTTAAAATTTTCCATGCTAAGTGTCTGCCTCATGTTGATATTTATTTATTTAATTTTTAAATTTCCGTGAAAATGGTTCAGCTATTTTTCAGAATGAGATCAAGGAAAAACACATTGTGCCAATAGTAAAAATAAAATCAAAAACCCAGCAAACAAAAACTTACAACTGTTACATTGAAAAGCCCTAGCACTTCCATGCTTTGGAACAGCGACTTGAAATTTGGCAGTGTTGTCCTGGTATCAGGGATGTGCCTTTTGCTGTCCCCCCTGAAAATCAGGCCAAATTTGGCCAAGTTATGAGCCTCTAAAAATCTCATTTTACATATTATCAGTAGAGACTACAAATAGTATATGATAGGCAACATGGCCTTGTGGATAGATAGCTGAACTGGAATTCAGGAACTCTGGGTTCTGTTCCCAGCTCTGCTGTTGTCCTGCTGGGTAACCTTGGGCAAGTCTCTAAATCTTTCTGTCTCAGTTTCCCTATCTGTGATATAGGAATGATGATACTGACCTCCTTTGTAAAGCAGTAAAGATCTACTGATGAAAAGTGCTATATAAGGGCGAGGTGTTGTTATCATATAACAAGATTGTATCAGAATGCATATGCACAAGGGGGCCAAATTAAGATTGTCTACCTTAGTTTTGGCATTTCCTAATTTTTGAGTGCTCGACTTTGCAGCCTTAACATTTTTAATGTAGTTTATTTGGACATATGTGTATAAGCAGCTTTTACAGCTATTCTTAAAAATATTTTAAATACCTTGTTGTTTCAGATGTATATAGCACTAATTTCCATGCATGCCCTAATCATGGTGGGATTTCACTTCCTGTATTGCTTTGAAGAAGACTGGACAAGTGAGTATTGACACAGTATTCCTTTCAAATACCAAATTAACCTGTAGAGACAGCATTGTGATATAGTTTAGGGGAAAGGCAGCTTTTTTTACTGCTTGTTGCCAGAGAATGCTGTTAATGTTATGAGCTACTTTTTATTTTTGTGACCATTCCTGGAGTTTTAAAATTCCACCTATCCTGTTAGGAATTTTCTGTCCTGAAGGGTTAAGTCCTATTTAAACACACACCATACATAACCTGGAGAACAGATAGAATATTAAGGCTCTATCTCAGTACATAGGAAAAGATTAGTGTATACATGAATGTATCACTGATAATTCCTGCATGCTAAAGTGAGATGGGGAGAATGCATGGGCTCTTTTACAATCACATAATAGAAACCAGCCCTGCAAAACTGTTGAGAAAACTGATCAGCTCAGACGCAAAAATGCACTCTCACATGTTCAGACAACTCTCCCTGCCCTCCAAAACCTAAAAACACCTCATGCTGGAAAAGTCAATGAGTAGAATTTTACAAAGCTGCTTTAAACCATCAGGTTTAATCCACAGTAGTTAGGTAGATTGATTTATTTTTAAAAAGAGCCAGGGCTTGATCAATCCACTTGCCAATACCAAGTAGAAAAGTTTATCTTAGAGGTGGGTGGGTGTATGTGCATGTATTTGCATGCAGGAGGATGAGTTTCAATTTTTGCAGGATTTAAGTTTTCACTTTGAAATAATTACAATTTTAGTCATTAGAACTGTGAAGAAAACCTTACAAATGGGAACTAATGTATTGCAAGCTTGCAGCTCATAACTTTGCCAGGCAGGCACAGAGTTAAACTGATAAAATCTGCAGCTGCCCACAGTGGGCAGAAGGAGGCTGTGGGAGTGGTAAAATAAAGGAGGGTTCCTTTCCCTCTCCAAAATAATCAGGCTCTAGAGAGCTAATGAAAAGCGAGCTGCTTCTCTTTTTCAGGTATGGAATTGCTGAGCAGGATTCAGGGGCAGGACCCTGGCAGAAAGCAGCTGGGGGGTGCATCTGAGTTTCTGTAGTTACTGCTGACCCTGGACCCTATTGATGGGGTCCTCATCTTTTCTGTATTGGCCTCTGGGTATTAGGTGTCTGGTAAAATTTAGAATCCTTGGTCACGGCAATATCTGCAATTGGTGTACTTGTGGGAAAAGAACTGTTTTTAAGCAGTTCTCAGTATTTGATTTCACAGAATTGAGAATATATTAGAATTAATTCATAAGCTAGTAATTAAATATTGTTTGTATCATTTTTCTTTTTTCTTATTTCCCCCTCACTTTCCTAGACTCACAGAAATGCAGGGCTGGAAGAGACCTTAGGAGGTCATCAGGTCCAGTCTCCTGCACTGAGGCAGGACCAAATAAATCTAGACCAGGGATTCTCAAACTGGGGGTCGGGACCACTGAGGGGGTCATGAGGTTATTACATGGGGGGTCACGAGCTGTTCGCCTCCAACCCAAACCCTGCTTTGCATCCAGCATTTATAATGGGGTTAAATATATAAAAAAGTGTTTTTAATTTATAAGGGGGGTCACACTCGGAGGCTTACTATGTGAAAGGGGTCACCAGTACAAAAGTTGAGAATTACTGATCTAGACCATCCCTGACAGGTGTTTGTCCAACCTGTTCTTAAAACCCTCCAGTGATGGGGATTCCACATCCTTCCTTGGAAGCATATACCAGAGCTTAATTACACTTATAATTAGAAGGTTTTTCCTAATATCTAATCTAAATCTCCTTTGCTGAAAAGTAAGCCCTTTTCTTCTTGTTCTACCTTCAGTGGACATGGAGAACAATTGTTCTCCTTCTTTATAATGGCCCTAGCATATTTGAAGACTATCTGGTCCCCTCTTTGTCTTCTTTTCTCAAGACTAAACATGCCCAGTTTTTTAAAATCTTTCCTCATAGATCAGGTTTTCTAAATCTTTTATCAATTTTGTTGCTTTTCTCTGGATTCTCTCCAGTTTATCCATATCTTTCCTATAGTGTAATGCCCAGAACTGGACACACTAATCCAGTCCTGCAATGTGCTTGTAACCCCTCCCAGTTTATCTTCCTCAAATGTTATAAGCCTACATTCCTCCATTATCAAAATATTGAATAATACCAGATCCAGGACTGACCCCTGCGGGACCCCACTAAATATGTCCTCCCAGTTTGATATCAGACCATTGATAACTATTCTTTGAGTACGGTGTCTCAACCTGTTGTGCACCCACCTCTATAGTAATTTAATGTAGACTGCATTTCCCTAGTTTGCCTATGAGAATGTCATGTGGGACTATATCAAAGACTTACTAAAATCAGGATATCATGTCTACAACTTCCCTTCATCCATTAGGCTAGAAACCCTGTCAAAGAAGGAAATTAGGTTAGTCTGGCATGACTTGTTCTTGACAAATCCATACTGGCTATTCCTTATAACCCTGTTATCCTCCGGGTGTTCACAAATCGAATGTTTAATAATTTGTTCCAATATCTGTCCAGGTATCGAAGTTAGGATGACTGGTCTATAATTCCCCCCTGGTCCTCATTGTTCCCCTTTTAAAGATAGGTGCTATGTTTTGCCCTTCTCCAGGTCTCTGGGATCTCACCCAACCTCCATGAGTTCTCAAAGATAATTGCTAATAGTTCCAAGATTGCTTCAGCTAGTTCCTTAAGTATGCTAGGATGAATTTCACCAGGGCCTGCTGACTTGAGTACAACTAACTTATCTAAATCTTCTTTTAACCCTTTCTTTCCCTACTTGGCTTGCATTCCTTCCTCTTGTTGCTCATCATTGCCCTATTTAGTGAAGACTGAAGCAAAATAGGCATTAAACACCTCTGCCTTCTTGGTGTCATCAGTTATTAGCTCTCCTTCCCTGCTAAATAGGGGACCTACACTTTCCTTCATTTTTTCTCTTGCTCCTAATGTATTTAAAGAACCTCTTTTTCTTTGCCTTTTATGTCCCTAACTAGGTGTAACTCATTTTGTGCCTTTAGACTTTCTGATTTTGTCCCTACATTCTTATGCTGTTCTTTTGTACTTCTTCTTAGCAATTAGTCCATGTTTCCACTTTTTGTAGGATTCCTTTTTGATTTCAAGGTCATTAAAGAGCTCCTGATGGAACTATATTGGCTTCTTACTATTCTTCCTGTCTTTCCTTTGCATCAGGATAGTTTGCAGTTGCACCTTTAATAATGTCTCCTTGAGAAACTGTCAGCTCTTCTGAACTACTTTTTCCCCTTAGATTTTTTTCCCCCATGGGACCTTATATACCACTTCTCTGAGTTTGTTAAAGTCTGCTTTTTTGAAGTCCATTCTCCTCATTTTGCTCCTCTCACTCACTCCTTCCTTTCCTTAGAATCATAAAGGCTATCATTTCATGATCACTTTTACCCAAATTGCCTTCCACATTCAGATTAGTTACCAGTTTCTTCCTGTCAGAATCAATCTAAAATGGTTGTTCCCTCCCTCCCCTGGTTACTTCCTCCACTTTCTGAAACTTTGTCTCCAGTACACTCCAAGAATTATAGGAAATGTTGTGTTTTGCTGTATTACTTTCCCAACAGGTGTCTGGGTAGTTAAAGTCCCCCATTACTACAAGGTCTTGTGTTTTGGATATTTCTGTTGTTTGTTCAGGAAATGCCTCATCGATCTTGTCTTCCCGATTTGGAGGTCTATAGTAGACCCCTACCGTGACATCACTCCTACTTTTTTATCCCTTTTATCTTTACCTAGAGACTTTCTGCCTCTCACCTCCTTGTGGACCTCAGAACAGGTGTATATATTCTTGATACATAATGCAATACCTCCTCCCTGTTTCTCTTGTCGGTTCTTCCTGAATAAGCTATATCCCTCTATACCAATATTCCAGTCATAAGACTTTCACAGCTATTCTTTTAAACCCTGCTTAACCTTGCAGGGACATTTCAGTATAGATAAACCTTATGGGAAAAAGGGGATGGGTTTGAGAGAACCAAGAATATATAGTCTTTCTCGGTCTTCAAAAGTCAGTTATGAAAGGAACATGCTATGCTTTTTATAATGGACAATTGGTGCTACTGAAGTAATCTTCTCTGGTTTCCTCTGTGTCCTGAGCATCAACTTGAGGTGCCCCTTCCTAATGGATTTAATCATAGAGAAAATTAGTAAAAACTCTACGGATAGAATGTGCAAGTGGTGGGGTCCAGGTGAGAGCACTCGAGGGGGGCTTAGCTGGAAAAGAAAATTGCATGCCATACATATCACAGCACAAGTTTCTTTTTCTTCAAATTAACAGTACTAATTATCTCGGTATCTCACTTCCTTGGGAATCACATACCCTTTCTGTAGGCCTCTGATTATGGAAGTCATGTCAGTTTCTTATTTTGATAGGAGAATTTTGTTTGACTAACTGTTGAGAACTTGAGATAACCTGATATGTAATATCAGTGGCAGAATTTACTGCTTAGTAACACGTGTTTGTAGTTTTACATGTGGGTTCTGTTCCCTAGTCCCATATTTTTGAGTATTCATTGTTTTGTCATGCTTTCACAGAATGCAGCTCCTTCTCTCCACCAACTACAGTGATCCTTCTTATCCTCTTGTGTTTTGAGGCTCTCTTGTTTCTTATCTTCACATCTGTAATGTTTGGGACCCAGGTACACTCCATCTGCACTGACGAAACGGTGAGTTCTCCATGGTCGTGCGCTCACAGTTGTAAGATCTATGAAATGTCATGTGGTTCTCTTTCACTGCTCTAGCATGCGTTGGATCTTCTGAGGCTGATATAAAATAAACTAAGCCTGCACAGTGGCTGAGTTCACTCTAGATGGCTAGCATAAGAAGTTGAGTAGTGTGAGGATATTGCAACTACAGCAACAGTGAGTGATATTTTTATCTTAACCAGCGTAAGGCAACAATGTGGAGGTTACACAGAGACAGTGGAGTCCCTTATTCAGCACTGCATCCTGCCCTCCTCTTCTTCAAAGGTGAAGTCCCTGACTTATAATAGTACTTTTACCCTTGAGAATGGTATCAGACTTCACCAGTCATGCTCAGAGTGTCTGTCATAGCTTAACAGAAGTCCAAGATCTTCCTTAGGTAACCTAATTGGGTAGGTTGGGGGAAGTGATAACCTTAAAGGGGCCACAACTGAGTGTCTTAGTGCACAACTGAGTGTCTTAGGGTTTCCCAACTTTTTCCCCCTGAGGCCCACCTGGGCAGCTGCAATGGGCACTGCGGCCCTCTGTCAACACGTGTCTGACAGAGAGAGGGGCACTGCGGGGTCCCTCGCCTCAGCAGGGACCAGGGTCAGCAAGAGGGTGAAGGGGCCACAGCCAGCCCCTGCTGACACCCTCCACTTCAGCAGCCTACTGAGTGCCTTGAGCTTGTCACCTGGCAGCCCTGTCACCCACCCAACACCCTGGCGTGCCTCACAGGCACCCCTTGCCCGGAAACAAGGGAAGGGCTTGGGGGCCGCCAATCTCAGGCATAGGCAAGAACTCAGGCTGGGCCCAGCCATTATCTGACTGTCCCGATCACGGCATTGTCCAGGTGGGAACAGAGCAGCACTGCCAAGCCCCAGTCCCGGGGGCGGAGGAGAGGGTGAAGGCCTGATTCTCCAAGGGGCCCAACAGTGACGGAACCCACCGATTACCTCTCAGAGCCGGCCTCTTCTCTGCACCCTCTGCCCATTGCCTGGTGGCTCCTCTTCACCTTCTGCCATCCACCGGCAGCACTGGGCTCTTCCGGCCCTGGGCAGGTGCCATCACTGGCCACCACTCCATCAACGTATACAGTTTGCGGGGCAATGCCCTCCCAAACTCCACCCATGGCAGACCGCCCGGGACTGTCAGTGGCCCGCAGCTGACAGTATGGGAATCCCTGTGTTTAGTGGGCAAGTCTATGGAGAGTTTAAACAAAGTTAGAATCCGGCATTCAGAACCATGTGAGAGCAGTCTGCTTCTCTCAGCTCTTCATTCCCTAGCTAGCTTCATGATACTTGCATTCAGGTCGACTTTGTTCCAGGGAAAGTTGCAGATATTTTCTGCTGAGTAGGGTCCCAGGAGAGTATATTGCTGAACAACTGGCTCCTACCAAGACAAAATTTATCAGCTTACATAAATTAATGGTGGTGTCTCTAAAGTCATTACTGAATGGGTGCCTAAAGCTAGGCACTTTAAATAAGTGCCCTGATTTTCACACACGCTGGGCATCTTTAGAAATAGTCACTTATATTGTTTATGTACATATGGATATAGGTTCCTGAATATAGGGTCCTGAGGTTTTTAAAGGCAGGGGGAGGGCTTTTATTCTTTTACAACTTCCTTCTATGTCACCTGTGTTACACATCATTTGTTAGCACCAAGGTTGCGTCTATCTGGCATGTGATTCTTATGTTGAGGAACACTTTGAAAAGAAATGCTATTAAATGTGGTCTTTTTTACTTCTTCTTTCACCTTGCATTTTGTTGGGCTGGAGTAGGTTTCCTCCAATGCAGACTTGAGCTCTGAGAATCTCCCATCCTCACCCCACCCTCTCATATATACCCCACAGTGGTGATTCTCCTCTGCTAGAAGAGGGCTAGATCAGTTTCTGACAGAGCCTGAAATTTTGCTCCTTGTGTTACCTATGGAGATGGCATCACCAGTGAGCAGGGCAAAGTGCTTATTCCCTCTTTGGAGCTGCCCATACTCCTGCTTGCACATAACTTCCAGGACTGGGAGTTGAAGACTCACACTTGTTCTACAGTGCACTGAGCTGCAGTGCAGGGGATCCATTTATTAACAATAGACAGGAAGAAGAGGATTTTGCAAAAAGGCTCTAAATTAAAGACTGAAATGGTCTGCCCATTACAGATAGCTGGAATCAAGGATTATAATTCTCTACTCAAACCAAACAATGCATTTATAGCAACAAGAGCTGTATGCTTAAGACCTAATTTATTTTATGGATTGCAAATATTATAAGGATTTTTTTACGTGATTGATTAAGGACTGTTTCAACTGATTGCTTGAAAGCTTATTTTTGCTCTCCCTCTAATCTTTACTAAACCAATATCAATTTTTTTCTCTTCATTCAGTATACTTATTTAACTTTCTCCCTGCTGTCTGCCCATGCATGTTTTGGCAGCAGTTTTAAGAGGCACTGGGTACATTCAGCCCTGCTGAACAGAGGACATTTCCTGAACTTGCATGGTGAATCTGGGAGCATTATAGGGATTCTCTTGGGTTTTTTTTGTCTGCAAATATATAAATGGGTTCATATAAAACTTTCCCTTATCCAACATAGGCATATGGAATGCTTTCATCCAATGAAAGTACATGTTGTAATTCTGTTTTAAAATTGACATATGTAACAATTGTAGGGTATTTTTTAAGAGGTTTGAGCATATTTTTAAATGTGATCAAAAATGGCAATTTTGTTTTCCAAGGAATATTTCCTATCCTTTTTTAAAGGAAAGGCTCTCTATAGGTAAATTTTGTATTTTCTTACTCCATCCATGCAATAAGGGGTAATTGAGAGATCCTTTTCCTGAAAGCAGAACCACAGCAATTAAGTGCTTGACTGAAAGTGTGATATTTCTGTTTTCAGGGAATAGAACAATTGAAAAAGGAAGAGAGAAGATGGGCTAAAAAAACAAAATGGATGAACATGAAAGCAGTATTTGGCCATCCGTTCTCTATAGCATGGCTTAGCCCATTCGCTACTCCAGACCAAGGAAAGGCAGACCCCTACCAGTATGTGGTCTGAAGAATTCTTGACCAGAATTTCCACTAAAATAAAACCACATTTCAGCACTACTGTTATATAATTTTTATATGAATGTTTAGAACAAAATGGAAAACAGAAACTCTTTTTATGTCTGTTAAAGGCTGTTCATTGCAGAGAAAAAAAAAGAAAAAAAGCCCTGTGTTCGGCAATTTTAGATAATACTATGTCTCTGGTGGCTGAAGCATCTTCTTTTCCCTGTGTTTTTTTAAACTTGTTAACTTTACTTGCCTTTGTTTCTATCTGCTTTCTGGTATGGCATAACTAATGTGAAGGAGACCCTCTTTCTCTGTTGTTCCTGTCTCTGCTAACTCAGTAGACTGTCCTGCTGTCTCTAGACTGCGAGGATATCTGTGTAAGTGCCAACGGTGCCACATTCCTACACAGATCTCTTCAGACCTGCTAATGGTGTGTACAGCTCTGACTGGGCAGTGAGTTTCTTTCGTAAGAGAGGACTTCAGCTGGGAAATAGATACTTGGCTTATTGAACACTGAAAGGTGGAAGACGAGGGTGGGATGCTATGCGAGAGCCAATGAATACTGTGGTCACATGCAGTTAAAGTATTTAAAACAAATGTTGCCAATACCACCTTTTTTGTTTCCAGAGACAAAATTGATTCCGTCTTTCTGGCATTATTTTGTCTGCTCCCTCCCTTGTAAGCAGGTAATGTTGCCCCTCTAGGGAAAATATGGCCGCTTTGGTGGAAGACTTTCTCAATTAAATGCCTTACACTTAGAGGAAAAAAGAAATTTCATTTTAAAACTCTTAAGATCATCTTGTTTCTATATGTCTGTCTTTGATAAACAAGCTGTTGAAGTGATGCCTACTCAACAGTGTTAACATGTAGAACATGACAATTTGCCATAAAAGCTTAGCACTGATGGTTTGTGTAGGTCTACCTGAGAATTAATTTTCTGTTCTTAGGACTACCCATCTTTACAACTTTGAAAATCTCTTCTTATGTTCATACGTATAAATATTTTAAATTGGGAAATGTCAGTGTTAAGGAGTATGCATGCCTACTGTCATGACTGTGTGAATAGTAACCTCTGTGCTGTAAACGGTTGACAGAGGGACAGAGGGCATTCCATCAAAAACAAATTCAGGTAAAACCAAATCTTATGTGACTGAAACTAATGTTTTTGTATCTGGACAGGAATTTTATTATATTCTGGATCATTTTGAAAAGGGGCAGTTAGCATAGTGCCAGTGGGACCCATCAATCAATCATAAAGGAAAAGTGTAAATAAGTTGTATCCATAGATTCTGGTGTAACCTTTCCTTTTTTTAAAAACACTTTTATTTTGTAAAATGACCTATTAGGCTGAATCGAAGCCATGGGGGCGGAGGGAGGGAAGTACAGGGAGGAAAAGGCTAATGGATCTGTCTCACTTTGAAAGTAATGTGAATGCTGCATCTTTTCAATTCTGTCAATGCTTCCATATGGAAAACAAATGCAATAAAACTTTTCCAAAAACTGTTTCTGCTCCTTTCCTACTCTAAATGTTTGCACAATTTAAATGTCTTTAAATTTTCATCTGCAGCCAAGCTGGGAGAAGCATGAAGGTGAAATAACTTTGGTGCTCCAGTTTTTAAGATTAAAAAGTAGTTAATCAGTAATGCACTGTTAGCTATTTAACCACCTAAAGGTTAACTACATTTACTACATCCAGACCCCATATTTTTCTCCTGCTTGCTGAGGAGTAAATCCACAGTAGTGTGTTCATATATCTCAATCTGTTGCTCTAGGAATGCACACAGAGGCTTCTATGACCTCATTGTATGCTTCAACAGGAGACATTGGTGGAAGAAAGATGCCTTTAGCATGCACACAGTTCTTAAGGGACAGTTACAGGACCAGAAAGACTTTTTTTATTTTTCTTTATTATCAGTCTCTACTGGGAAAGCCATTCTCGTGTGTGTGTTTGAAAACCCCAGAATATGTTTACCTCTTTAATTCTAATTTGTGGTATGATAGAGGATTTAATGAGTGATGCTGTCTGGTTAAAAATCATGGGCCTCAGCTGATATAAATTGGCTTAGCCAGTGAGAGCATGGAGCTATACTGATTTACACCTGCCTACACTCTGGTCCTGTAACATTTTAAAAACACAATCCAGTATGTTAATCCAGATTATTAAAACTGAAAATTAAAAAACGTGTATTTTTGCTATATTAGTTTACCCTTTAACATTTCTCTGACTGGCAAATTCCACTGTTTCTAGTTCAGGTTTCAGAGTAACAGCCGTGTTAGTCTATATTCGCAAAAAGAAAAGGAGTACTTGTGGCACCTTAGTTTCCACAGTATGCATCCGATGAAGTGAGCTGTAGCTCACGAAAGCTCATGCTCAAATAAATTGGTTAGTCTCTAAGGTGCCACAAGTACTCCTTTTCTTTTTGTTTCTAGTTCGTTTGTGGTCTGCCTTTCTCATGCATTATAGCAATTATATTTACATACCACAGGGTAGTTTACATGAGTAACTAAAATGCCAGAACATTTTATTGGTTTTACATTTGGTAAACTTTTTTTCCTCTCAAATCCAAATGTTATCAGACAATGGTTATTTGGAGGATAACTGCTGTGATTACATATAGTAATTTAAATATTACATTGTATATTTTTTCTAATATAGTACACTTTTCTTTTAAGTGAAATTTCAAAACAGCTTTTAGAAATACCTGTGGTTTTCTCTATTTCCAGAACTGTGTATATCTGACAGTGACCAATGGTCTGTCATTTTACTGATACTTCCCAGAAGGAGGTACAGTGAGATGCAGCTCAGTATTTGAATGTGTGAGAGGCAGACTTACCAAATTGTGTCAAGGTAAGTCGTTTTTTTTTAATTCCCAGAAGTGATACATTACTTGACTTTATTTTTGAAATTCTCCTGCCTTTCTCATGCATTCAAATGGTAAGCAGCATTTCCTGTGTTTTCATTTGAGAACTAACTTTAAATGAGTACTCGTGAACCAATGACTTTGGAATATTACTAACTAAGCTTTGTGCAAGGTGCTGTTTTTTCCTAGTTTTGTATCACTATTTCTCTTCTTTTTAGAGTCTTTTTTTACATGTCTTAGACACTTTTCCTTCTTAAACCATCCCCTCTCTAGTCTATCTCTTTAGACCGTCCTGACAGCAGCACAGGTGACACCATATTAGATCAGGACACAGAGTTTTAATAGTCCGCAATCTCCATGTCCTGAATACATGTTAAATGGATTGCTGGGTACTGCACAACAGGATTATCTGATTAACTGCACTCTGTCTAATTAGCACAACCTCCTGTTGAGCTTGTGTACATGACAGCCTAAATTCCTAGATAATGTATGGGATCTAAAATTTAAAAAAATGCTACCCAAAAGTTATAGCGCTGTTACTCCACTTCACCATAGAACTGTGAAAAAGGAATTAACACAATGGTGAACCAGGCCTATAGGCTCTGCTGTTTGGGAATCAGTTTAAGCAATAGAAAAAGAGCTTCGTTTCCCATCTCTTCCCTTCCTGTTACACACACTTGCACTAGTTCTTAAAAATAACAGCAGTGAGGATAGTAATGGTTTGTTTCTAACTGCAGATAGCTTCCGGGTTGGCTAGCAAACTGCAGAGAACCTAAACCTGCTTCTGTGCTTTAAGATGAAAAGTGCTTCAAGCTCACCACTCCAATAGTGCAATTGCAGGACTCAGAAGCAGACTTGTTCATGTCCCTGTGAGAAACTAAGCAATAGTTTTAAACAGGGCTAGAAAGGCATTGTTTTTGTGTGTGTGAATATTGCCTGTCTCCAGTACTGCCTGACAGAAGAACAGAAGCTGAGCACCATACTCGCCAAGCAGCAATGATCGTAATGGTGCCTACGTTTGCAAGGGTTTCCTGTTAGAGTGTATAATATGTTGTCAAAGCCACGCAGTTCCTCATCCCTTCTGGAAGCTGTTTAGGCTATGGGCATTCTCAAAAGTCTTTTTTAAAATTCTGGCTTATGGACTTGTGTGAACAAATGGAAAACTGCTCTAAATGAACTGTGAAAAAGGTTCCAGTTTAATGCACAGAACTGCATGGTGCTCTTCCTCTCCTGCCTGCCTATACCAAATCCAAATCTCTATTCTGAAACTACAACTGCCACTATCTGAAAACCTATATCAAATTATTTATCAGGCCTCCTACTTGTAAAGTGATGGTTACACTCTGATCAGATAAAAGCAAAGCCTGGGATGATTTTTCAGCCAAGTTCTCCTTAAAGAATCTATGGATAATTAGAGAACCAGTAGAATTATAACATCACAATAATGAGAGGAAAGTATTCTTAGACTCTGTTCCTATTTAACTTTAGCAGAATTCCGAGAGAAGATCTTTAATAAAGACCCAATATTTTTAATTAAGGATGGAGGAAGTTCTTACTCTAGATTTATTTGTTTCACTAAGCCCAGGCTGCCCATTTATGGACCAGGGCCCTGTTGTGATAGGCACTAAACAAACACACAACAAAAAGACAGTTTGTGGTGCAAAGAACTCACAATTCAAGGCTATCTCTACACTAGAGAGCTTACAGCGGTACAGCTGCGCCACTGTAAAGTCTCCTGTTTAGCCGCTCTATGCCGACTAGGGAGTGCTCAAAAAATTAAGAAGCTTTTACTGCAAGAATTACATAGAAAATTGTTGTTCTCTGAAGATTTGTGTGTGTGCTCGCGCCAAACTTGGAAACTTGATTCAATCGGTAAAGTATAAAACAAAACATTTTTGCCCTGCCTTAAATGGAGATTACGACACAATCATTAGTATGGATATAGATATTATGTATGCATATGCCCCCTCTATAGTAATGGGCGCTGCATAATTGCCAGTAATAAATGATAAAAATCTCTTCTTTTTCATCTACAGGGTATCGAGCGCCTTAAGAATCAGACACCTACTTGGGAAAAAGTCAGCAGCTGGGAAGCGATGAAACTGGCTTTTGGTGGTAATTTCTCCCTGAGCTGGTTCAATCCTTTTTCAGGCCTGAGTTGCAAAAAGGCTCCACCATCTGGGGTGGCAGCAGTCACTCCACCTGAAATAGTGACCGAAGAGGCTCTTGAGCAATTCTTGGAACAAGAGGTTGCTGTCCAAGTGTTAAATGAATAAGCAAAATGCTCTCCAAAATGTCAACAAAGGCTCTCTGTTTTTATTAAATGTTCGCACCCCAGATTTAGCTTTAAGGGACCATGGTGCAGAAAACATCTGGACATATTTGTCCAGAAGTCAGGTGCAGTACTAGTAGAAGCAATGCAAATCTCTACTGACTGCCCAACCAATGATGTAAAACGTATAAGCTCCATTTCCACCACTGGAAAGGTTTTATTAAGCAAAGAGCAACTGCCCAGCTTTGCACAGTTCCTAATTGTTTGTTCAAGGAGTAACTCCTCTTTTGGCTCACTAGGTGCTGATGCTGCCTTTAACCCAGGAAGTTCCCAGTTCAGATTTCAGCTGTCTTAAAGTTCAGGGCAGATCCACAGATGGGCAAATTCATCCTGGTGTAACTCCATTGACATCACTGGAATTGTGCTGGGGATAAATTTAGCCCAGAGTAACTCCAGCTACTGCCTGAGATTCTTCTATTTGAAGGCCTGATCCAATGCCCATTCAAGACAACGGGAGCCATTCCACTGACTTCTATGGGCTTTGAATCAGGCCCTAAGTGTGATGGTGACTGACTCACTGGCAGACATAACAGGTGAATCTGGTATATTGCTACTGTTTAGTAAACAAAACAGATGAATACATGAATCTTGGCAGCATGGTAAATCTGTCAGATCAAGTCTTTATCAGTGTGTCATGAAATTCTATTTGCTGTTAATAGCAGGATTGTTTTTAAGGAGGAAACCTGCTTAGTTACAGTAGCTTCCATTAAAGAGTGTGTCTGACATGCTGTAATATTGCCTTAAATGTCAATATCTTAAAATATTCAGCTGTCAATTCTTGGTTAGAAGTGGACTTTTTAAAGGTGACCACTATTGAATATTTTAGATAGTTACACATTTATAGTTAGTAAATGTTTACATGAGAATACATGCTAGATATAAAAGTTTTATTACCATGGGTTGGAAAGGTTACACAGCTCATGAGTGGCAAAGTCATAAATGAGTTATATGAGTCATCCTAAAAGGAGGCCAATACAATCTTTTATATCAAACGACATTGTCCTACACAGATTCTATATTGCTAATGAATATGAATGAAGAAAAGTTTATTTTAGGAATATTTTAGCCTTTTTTTAATAGTCTTTTTCGGTCATCTTTTCCTTGTAAAAACAGATACCTTAGCTACCATCAATTTAATTCTATAGAACCCAAGGAAGCCATAGTTTGGCCCTGCCACTGGCCTGTCAGGTGACCTTGGGCAAGTTGCTTCCCCTCTCAATGCCTCAGTTTCTCTAACACAGGGTAATGAAACCTACCTCCTCTCTGAAGAGCATAGAACTCTATGGATGAAAGGCATTATGATGTAAGAGGTAGGTGATGATTTTATTTATTAAAGAGGTTCCAGATGGAACCTGTACCAACCAGCCTCATTTGAAAAATGTTCAGAATTTAAAATAAAACAAAACCCCACAGCCTTAGTGTGTAATGACTTGACACACAGGAGTACTGAAAAGAGACTGTCTTTGTTCCAGTCCCCTGCCATGGGTCACAATAAATAAATCCCCTTATGATCTGATGTGGGTTAGTATGCACTGACTCTGGCAGCGGCTACAAGCAGTTTGTTGAAAAACAGGAAAACTTTTTGAGCAAACATTTCAGAAAAATTGCGTGCCCTCCCCCCCCTTTTTAAATTGAGAAAATCTGAAACTTTTCTAGGTGCTCTAGTCAACAGGAATTAAGAATCAGGTTTGTTCCTATATCTACAGCTTACTTTAAAAGAAAACCTGTCCTTCTATATACTAAGCTGTTGTTCTATCATCAGAAACAAACAGAACATCTCTTCTGTAAACTGCTCAGGATGTAGTTGTATCTGACTATAGTAAAGTGAGCAACTGTCACTCTTCTGCACCCAAAGTGCACTTTTATCTAACAGTGTTTCAAAGCAAGAGGGCGAAGAGGAACACTTAAGAAACTACATGGGGGAGTTAGTGGGGGGGGGGGGAGGGAACATTTAAGGAGGGAAAATAAGACTGGACCTTTTAACTCATGTATTCTAGTTCTGTCTTGGTGTTTGGCCTGAGGTAAGTCATTTAACCTCTCAGCCTTAGGCCATGTCCACACTTACAAGCTTACAGCAGCACAACCGTACTGATATAGCTGTGCTGCTGTAAGAGCACTTGTGCAGCTGCTCTATGCTGACGGAAGAGAGCTCTCCTGTCAACATAAAAGCTATGTCGATGGGTGAGTGTCTCCCGCTGACGTAGCGCTGTTCATATCAGCACTTATGCCGGCCAAATTTATGTTACTCGGAGGTGTTTTTTTTCACACTCCTGAGTGACAAAAGTTTTGCCGACATAAGTGCTAGTGTAGACATGGCCTTAGTTGCCCTAGCTGTAAAAAGGCCGGAGCAACACTGGATTATGTGAGGACTAATTAATGTTTGCAATGTAAATTACTTTGAAATGCTATATCAGGGCTAATTATTAGAATGGGAAATAGTATCTGTTTTGCTTGGGGAAAAATAGGAACAACTGGCACACACGTGTTACATATTTGCTGAAATAAAATGATGGCAGGGACTGTACATTAATTATTTCTTAAAATACATTTTTTTGGATAAGCCTCTGACTGTTCTGATACAAGCCATTCAGCTTTTTTGAAGTCAGAGTGGGTATCATATAAAAACAGGCTTTCGTATTAGATTTCAGCTACTGTTTCTGACCTGCCTGAGAATACCAGGGGAAAGTAGTATGTCCGTTGACTTCAGTGGAGCTAGGATTTCACCATGTGAGAGAGACTTATTTGTTTGTTGCATTCCGATGGTGCTGCTGCTTCTTGGACATGAGCACAATCACAGCTTCTTTGGGAGTGGTGACCATTTGAAGGGGATATATTCCCCCTCTCCTTTTTTTATTTTCACCTGTTCCTGCTCAACGTGACTGCAGGACTCATGTATTTTACTAGAGCTGTCAAGCAATTAAAAAAAATTAATCACAATCATGCGATTAATGGCACAGTTAATAATAAAATACCATTTATTTAAATTTTTTGATGTTTTCTACATTTTCAAATATATTTATTTCAATTACAACCCAGAACACAAAGTGTGCAGTGCTCACTTTATATTTATTTTTGATTACAAATATTTGCATTGTAAAAAACAAAAGAAATAGTATTTTTCAATTCACCTAATACAAGTACATGATAATCTCTTTATCATGAAAGTTGAACTTACAAATGTAGAATTATGTACAAAAAAACCCTGCATTCAAAAATAAAACCATGTAAAAATTTTAGAGCCTACAAGTCCAATCAGTTCTACTTCTTCTTCAGCCAATTGCTAAGACAAACCAGTTTGATTACATTTGGAGGAGATAATGCTGCCAGCTTGTTATTTACAATGTCACCTGAAAGTGAGAACAGGCGTTTCCCTGACACTGTTGTAGCCAGTGTTGCAAGATATTTGTGCGCCAGATGCGCTAAAGATTCGTATGTCCCTTCATGCTTCAACCAGAATTCCAGGGGACATGCGTCAATGCTGATGACGGGTTCTCCTCGATAACAATCCAAAGCAGAGCAGACCGACACACGTTCATTTTCATTATCTGAGTCAGATGCCACCAACAGAAGGTTGATTTTCTTTTTTGGTGGTTCGGGTTCTGTAGTTTCTACATCGGAGTGTTGCTCTTTTAAGACTTCTGAAAGCAAGCTCCACACCTTGTCCTTCTCAGATTTTGGACCGCACTTCAGATTCTTAAATCTTGGGTCGAGTGCTGTAGCTATCTCTTTAGAATCTCACATTGGTATCTTCTTTGTGTTTTGTGAAATCTGCAGTGAAAGTGTTCTTAAAACAAACGTGCTGGGTCATCATCCAAGACTGCTAGAACATGAAATATATGGCAGAATGCAGGTAAAACCAAGCAGGAGACATACAATTCTCCCGCAAGGAGTTCAGTCACAAATTTAATTCACGCATTATTTTTTAACGAGTGTCATCAGCATGTCCTCTGGAATGGTGGCCAAAGCATGAAGGGGCATACAAACGTTTAGCATATCTGGAACGTAAATACCTTGCAATGCCGGCTACAAAAGTGCAATAGGAACGTCTGTTCTCATTTTCAGGTGACATTGTAAATAAGTGGGCAGCGTTATCTCCCAGTAAATGTAAACAAACTTGTCTTAGTGACTGGCTGAATGAGAAGTAGGACTGCATGGGCTTGTAGACGCTAAAGTTGTACATTGTTTTGTTTTTTTGAGTGCAGTTATGTAGCAAAAAAAAAATCTACATTTGTAAATTGCACTTTCACTATAAAGAGACTGCACTATGGCACTTGTATGCGGTTAATTTAAAAATACTATTTCTTTTGTTTATCATTTTTATAGTGCAAATATTTGTAATAAAAATACTATAAAGTGAGCAGTGTACACTTTGTATTCTGTGTTGTAACTGAAATCAATATTTGAAAATGGAGAAAAAGACCCAAAATATTTAATAAACAACAGAATACCAATTGAAATTTAACTGTGCGATTACAACTGTGATTAATTTTTTTTAATTGCAATTAATTTTTGAGTTAATCGCGTGAGTTAACTGCGATTAATCGACAGCCCTGTTTCCTCCTCCCCTTATTATTTTTATGTGGTTGTGTCTGCTTCTGGGCCTACCTGAAACTAAGAAACAAAACGAAGAGGCGCACGAAAGCAAATAACCCAAATGGAAGGTGATGTAAATGTTTTCAAAGCCAGCTGAGATTCTGTTGAAGAAGACCGTTAGCTAGTGATAGAATGTCTTCACGGAATCTGTCTCCTACAATGAATAGGAAAGTCTTGTTTTGCCTCAGCCTGTACTTTTATTATCTGGCAATCTGACACAAATTTTTGTTGTTGTTTTTACCAAATTGTCCAGAAACACTCATGGTTAACCAAAAAAACCACAGGCTCTTATCAATGTAACCCTTTTTTTCCCTTCCCCTTCCAATGTGTATTACCATCCCTGTCAAGTTGTGTCTTAACTTGGTGCCTGATCCTTCAAACCCTACTGAGTGTATTGACTGCTACTGAGAGTAGTCCCCTTATAATCTCCAGATCTACTCTCCGCAAGAAAGCACTATGCCCCGTGGTAAGCATGTGCAGGATCTGTCCCTTAAATTGTAAGGTCTTTGGAGTAGGGATGTTGTCTTTTTTCCTCTGAAAAGCCCTACTGTATATTTACAGTGTTATAAAAAGAAAAGGAGTACTTGTGGCACCTTAGAGACTAACCAATTTATTTGAGCATGAGCTTTCGTGAGCTACAGCTCACTTCATCGGATGCATACCGTGGAAACTGCAGCAGACTTTATATATACACAGAGAATATGAAACAATACCTCCTCCCACCCCACTGTCCTGCTGGTAATAGCTTATCTTAATATAATAATAATAATCTTAATAGCTTAGATAAGCTATTACCAGCAGGACAGTGGGGTGGGAGGAGGTATTGTTTCATATTCTCTGTGTATATATAAAGTCTGCTGCAGTTTCCACGGTATGCATCCGATGAAGTGAGCTGTAGCTCACGAAAGCTCATGCTCAAATAAATTGGTTAGTCTCTAAGGTGCCACAAGTACTCCTTTTCTTTTTGCGAATACAGACTAACACGGCTGTTACTCTGAAAAGTGTTATAAAAATACTGATTAGCCTATGGTAGTGATCTATTCCACGAACAATGTGTTTTTAAATGAATGAGTTATACAGCTTTCTGGGTACATGAATGAGAAAAAAATGTTAGATCTTTCAGCACAAATGTTTAATTTATTAGGGATAGGGATAAGACAGCAGGGTAAAGTACTCTTATATTTTATATACATCTGTGGGTCTTGTTAAGCAGCTGTTCTATGCAGTTAAGGAATTTATATATTTAAAAATGTTCTGTTTTGCTATTTGTAACTCCATTTTGTGCCTTCAGTAGATGTTATACTTATTAAAGAATTAATATTTCCATCCACCTCAGACTCCTGTTTTCAAATATTCTAAACCATTGAAATGCTGCCTAGAGAACCTTTCCGCTCTGTGTGTCTGGGGAGGCACCTCCTAGGCATAGTTTGGATTGCAGAAGTAGGAAGTGGTCTTTCAACTAGATCTCTCAGTTCAGAATACAGAACTGGTTTGCAAAAAATTTTTCTTTTTTCAAAATTGACAATTTTTTCCATGGAAACTACTCTGCATTTTTTACCCATTTCTGTACACAATTTGGATTCAGTGTATCATTCATTCAGAAGGGCTCGATCCACCACTCTTTCAGACAAAAAGAGATGCCAACCTTGCTCTGAGACTTCTAAGGACAGGGGCGTGTGCAGGAATTTTAAATGTTACTGCTTTTCGTGGGGGGCACATTAAACACACACATTTTATACACATTACATCATGTCACACACACATACATCATATGCAAAGAAATAAATGGCAGTATATTCACCATTTCAATGAACTGTACCTGTAAGGCACCCGGAATATAGGTTCCTTAACCTAATGGGGGGAACCTATGCAAACCATGTAGGCACATGTGCATCCATAACCTCATGTTATGGGGTTACATGTACGAGCTCACTGAGTTTGCACACTGCATGTTAGTAATCAAAAACACAGTAGAAAAAGGGAGGGGAGCAGAGAGCTCCTCCAGACACAGGGCCCAGGTGCAGAGCCCAGAACTCCTCCCACCCCGGGGCAAGTTCCAACACCGGCAGGGAGAGTGAGCTCCTGCACCAGGGCCTGGTGGGGAATGCAGAAATCCTCCACGCTAGGGGCACAGAACTCCTCCAGCCCTGCGGCTGCGGTGGGCAGAGCTCTCTCGCTCTCCCCACCACAGCCCTGGGAGGGAGGAGTTCTGCATCCACTGCTGATTACTGGCGGGGCCATGCCCCTGCTTGCCCCCCTTTGCACACACCCCTGTCTAGGGATGTTCATGAATAAAATTAGGGAGTTTGCATGGACCTCTCTCAACCCATCTCTCCTCCTGCTGGAGAAACAGGGACCTCTTGCTCCTCCCCTCTGCATCTGTGGCCTAGGGGGGACCTACCCCCTCCTCACTGCACCCCTGATCCTTCCCACCCTCAAACAGGGACATGGGGAGGAGCAGCCTTGGGAAAGCTGCCCTTCTATGCCACTGACGGCCTTTAATTATCATGGCCAGGCCTAGGTCCTTCCTGGGATGATCCATCTCTTCTCCCTCCTCTGTTTTGTTCCCTCTTTGCTACCACCGCTCCTCCTGCCCCTCCAGCTTCTTTTCCTCCTCTGCAGTCTGTGCAGTGGGAGCTGAGCCAGAGGCAAACTGGTGAGCGTCAGCAGGGGTTAGGGCACTTGGTACCTAGAGCAGGTTAACATAGTCCAGCAGAGTCCACTTGTGGCAGTTAGAGCACAACACCACAGCCTGTGACGTGGGTGGTGAATCCAGCAGTGCCCCAACCCATTCAAGATTGCCATAGCTTGCCTCCTATCAGACCCTCACTGTGCAGTCTGTGCATGTACCACAGGGGCAGTGGAGAAAGCGGCCTCCTGTGGCACTATTTGCTGTTTGTTGGACCCCAGGGGTAATGAGTGACACACATTTTATTTCTATATATTATGTATATAAAATGTGTGTGCTCTTGCTTGCAAAATGAATAGATCTAAGCCTCAATTAGTAATTTCATAACTACTATGTAGAAACTGGAAGAATTATGGGACGTTAGGGAGGGCTGGCATCTGTTACAGGATCTTCTCATGGAGGTTCCCCCAAACTATGACTCCAACTCATTCTGGGGGTGGCAAGGTTTACCTACCTGTGCGCCTCAGCTGAATGAGTTGTGGTTCCGCTGCAGAACTCGGCAGATCCTCTGGAGTCTGCAGGAGGCGAGGACCAGCTGGGTGAAGACCTTATGCACCCATACACATTCCAACAGCTCCTGTCCTCCACTCCTTGGCAGTCCAGCCTCATTAGAGCTGCTCTACCAGAGCCACATCTGACTGTAGCTCTCCTTGGATCCCCCTTTACAAAAGTGCAGTGCAGAGGGTTGCTACAGCAAAAGCAAAGAGCTCTACTGCTTTTACTGGGTAATCCCCACAGGGCTGAGAGGGGAACAATGCCCCTTCTCCCCTTTCAGAAAGGAGAGACAGTTCCATGAGGACAGCTGAGCTCCATTTCAATGGAAGAGCCATTATATCTGCACACAGAGAGGAATTTCTGTTTCGAGAGATAGGGAAATGAGCTGGGGCTACATTTTTGTTTTAAGACCTCCACAAAATTGACTGTGGTTATTCTGGCCAGTAAACCTACCACCTCAGGTTGTGAGCCTCTCATTTCGCAAGCTAAACAGAGTGGGACCTTGTCCGTTCTTCTCAAGGAAAAATTCAGTGCTGTAGGTAAGTAGGTGGTGCTCTTTGCTCGCCTTGTCTAAAATTGACATGATACAATAATACGAACAAAGGGGTGAGGAAAAATGGGGGAGTGGAAAACAACAGTAGAATAATATGGCTACTCGGGTTAGTTATGTGTTTCTTGTTCTAATGTATGTTCTGTATTATATCTGTCTACCAGAGCTGGTGTGCTGGAGAGAGAGGAATATTATTAGTAATTTTTAAAAATTGAAATTTCAAAATTCAAAAGATGTTGATCACTCTCTTCTACATACCCTGCCACCCATCCACATGCATATAGTCTTTGCATCTAAAAATTTTCCACCAGACCGCTGAACATTATATAACCATGAAAACTGACTCCTCCCCACAACCTATGCCCTTTATATATTTGTTAAAATGTGTGTATATTATATGTATATAAACACAACCCACTAAAATTGTAAAAAATATATATATATATATAGAGTACTGAACCAAAGCTCTAGTGTGAGGCACTGTGCTGTTCAAGTTGTCACTTTGTGCGTTTGCTGTTAACTCAGTATTATGACAACTTGTGGTCAGTAAAGACTTCCTTGTGCTTTTCATAAGGGTATAATCTTACCTTCAGTGTCCTAGGATGGCCCAGGAAGGTAGAGGGGCAAGGTGAGCTTAATTGATCTTTCCTATTTCTAATGTTGATGCATGGCTGAAAGGTCTCCATGTATATAAAAAGAAAAAAATATCAACATGCAAACAAGCCACACACAAAAACAGCATTGGGGTGTATTAAACTTAGCCTATGAGTGAGTACTATTAGGCCATTACCACTGCCTTCCAGGCATAACTTGATGTACAGGGAAACAATTCTGGAATATGTGTGATGGTCCTTATTTACAACAGCAACACTCTATGTTCAACAGTGCCAATGGAAGCTCACAAAGGGAGCATGACCAAGATTGATCATTGGCCATCAGGCCCCAGCAGTCGCTGACCACAGATCTGTCACGTTAGCAGTCTTCATAAAGCAAAGTAGCCTGGAAGAGGTCCAGAACCAGATTGTCTCATTATGACTCAAGCTGAAAAGCCACCAATACTTTTTTGTATTTAACCGTCCCTAGAAAGGTTCAGCCTAGAATTAGTCAGCATAGTGGCAGCCAAGGTAGGTTTCGTGAGCAGGGGCCAATGTGAGAAACACATGGACTGCTCCTCTCAAGTGAAGTATTTTATTTTCCCCATCAGTCGAGCTCCGTGACTTCTGTGGGGGCCAGTGTGGCTGACCCCAGGGCCGCCCAAGCAGCTGGTTCTGGGGCCAGCTGCTCAGGTGGCCCCGGGGCTGGGCACATCAGCCACTGCTGGAGGGGCTCTGCAACCAGCTGTTCTGGCGGCCCCGCAGCCAGCCGCATCGGCCGCTGCTCAGGCAATCCCCGGGGCTAGCTGCCAGGAGCCTCCCAAGCAGTGGCCGGCGCGGCTGGCCCAGGGGACTGCCTGAGCAGTGGTCTCTGGGCGGCCGGTGCAGCCGCTCTCAGCAGCCCCCAGTAGCAGCAGCCCCCAGCTTCCCCCCAGCAGTGACCCCCTTAAGATTTAGTCAAGGGTATTCACAGCCCCTGAATTTTTGTGCATTGCCCGAGACTCTTACTAAAAATACCCTTGACCAAACCCTAGCCTTACTCATCAGTAATGAAACGATCCAGCTCCTCTGGGACCTACACCGGCCCTGATGAGCAAGGACACCTCTTTCAACAGGACGAGAGCTGGTTGGAACGATCTCAGCTCAAACGCAGGTCGAGCCGCTGCAGCAGCAGGAGGCGGCAGGCCCCGATGGCTCGGATGTGACTGGTCGTAGCGGCGCGCGCGACGAAGCCCGGCGGACTCTCTCCCGCGCACGTGCCCAGTCAGGCAGTTACTCCAGCCTCGCTCCCACAGCCGGCTGTGGCGCGTGCGCAGAGTAGTGCAGGGGCGGGAGCAGCGGACGCCCCCTCCCCAGACAAGGAAGCTCGGAGCGGGAGCGCTGTGCAGCCAGCAGGCGGGGCGGGCCGTCACGTGACGTGAGCTCGCCAGAGACCCGGAAGAGCCGCCGGGCTGGGGTCGCGCTGCGATGCGGGCCGGCTGGGGCGCCGCGCACTCGGCCGCGGCCGGCCTGTTGGGGGCGCTGGCCGCCTGCTCCGCTAAACTGGCTCTGGGCGCCGGTTACCTGCGGGAGGCGTGTGCCGCAGCGGCCGGAGGGGAGGAGGCGGCCGCCGGCGCCTGTGTCTGGGTAAGAGCCGGGCAGCTGCTCCCGGCCTTGGCTGGCCACTGAGCGCCGCTTCCCCCATCGGGGGCGGCGGCGCGGGGAGGCGGAGAAACCAGCCCCTGCGTGATCTGCCCTGGAAGAGACGCGCAGTCCGTGCCCGAGCCGGTCTCCCCCCGCCCGGCCCCCAGGAGCCCCGGCACCGCTGTAGTTGCTCTCCCGGCTGCCCAGAGCCACGCCGGCGCGCACCCGTCCCGGCGCCGTCAGCCCCGAGCCCCTCGCCCTTCCTTGTGCCTCGGGGGAGCTCAGGCAGAGCTCCGATAAAACGTGAACATGCTCCACCGACCCTTGGGTATGGCTTTGTCAGGAGCAGGGTAATATCCAAAGGTGCTGGCTGGGCAGCCTTCCCCTTGGAAGTACCTAAATACCTGTCCCCTCTCCTGTGGATGTGCTTAGGGGTAAAGTTTTTCCATTAAAAGGACAGGCCATATTTTGGATGAAGCTGTGAGCCATCCTTTCAGAGAGAAAAGAAGGACATGGCAAGACCCTTCAGTGTGCACCCTGTGTCCTATATTGCTGCCCCTAGCAGTTCTATTCTGTGTCCCTCGTCCCTTGTGAAAACGAAACTGACAAGAATTTAAGTCCCAGAGCTTGGCTACACTTGCAGATGTAGAGCGCAGTGCGTTAAACCTGCCTTCTGAGAGTGCAGCAGGGAATGCGCTGCAGTGTGTCCACACTGACAAGCGCACTGGCCTGGCCACATTTGTGGCACTTGCAGTGGCATTGGGAATGGTGCATTATGGGTAGCTATCCCATGGAGCCCCTCTTCCCATTCTGGCGCTGTGGCTTGTGGAAAGGGGACGGGGAGTGTGGGGCATTCTGGGTCCTGTCCCAACGCCCTGTGATGCATCGGTTTGCATCCCAGCATTCCCTTTGCTTCCATCCACATTTGGCGCCATCTTTCAACGTTTTTTGTATTGCGCGCTCTGTTTTCCCTTTCGGTCTGCGGGAATGGATCCTGAAGTGCTGAGGAGTCTCACCAGTATGTCACATTTGGCAGTCGAGTTATTCCTTATGATCCAAAGTGACAGTGAGGACTCTGACGATGACATTGACTCGAGTAACGCTTATGATGCGAGTTTGCTTGTAGCATTCACGGACATGCTCACCACCGTGGATCGCCACTTTTGGGGTCGGGAAACAAGCACTGAGTGGTGGGATCACATCGTCATGCGAGTCTGGGGTGACGAGCAGTGGCTGCAGAACTTTCGGATGAGAAAAGCCACTTTTATGGGACTGTGTGAGGAGCTCGCCCCCACCCTGCGGCGCAAGGACACGAGACTGAGAGCTGCCCTGCCAGTGGAGAATCGGGTGGCTATTGCAATCTGGAAGCTGGCAACTCCAGACAGCTACCGATCGGTCACTAACCAATTTGGAATGTGAAAGTCGACCGTTGGAAACGTGTTGATGCAAGTTTGAAGGGCCATTAATCACATCCTGGTCAGAAGAACCATGACTCTGGGTAACGTGCATGACATTGTGGCTGACTTTGCACAAATGTGTTTCCCTAACTGCGGAGGGGCGGAAGTTACTAGATCGCAGGCCCTAGATCTCATGGGAGACTTCAATCACCCTGATATCTGCTGGGAGAGCAATTCAGCAGTGCACAGACAATCCAGGAAGTTTTCGGAAAGTGTAGGGGACAATTTCCTAGTGCAAGTGCTAGAGAAACCAACTAGGGGCAGAGCTCTTCTTGACCTGCTGCTCACAAACCGGGAACAATTAGTAGGGGAAGCAAAAGTGGATGGGAACCTGGGAGGCAGTGACCATGAGATGGTTGAGTTCAGGATCCTGACACAGGGAAGAAAGGAGAGCAGCAGAATACGGACCCTGGACTTCAGAAAAGCAGACTTTGACTCCCTCAGGGAACTGATGGGCAGGACCCCTGGGAGAATAACATGAGGGGGAGAGCTGATTGTATTTTAAAGAACCCTTTTTGAGGTTACAGGGACAAACCATCCCGATGTGTAGAAAGAATAGTAAATATGGCAGGCGACCAGCTTGGCTTAACAGTGAAATCCTTGCTGATCTTAAACACAAAGAAGAAGCTTACAAGAAGTGGAAGATTGGATAAATGACCAGGGAAGAGTATAAAAATATTGCTCGGGGATGCAGGAGTGAAATCAGCAAGGCCAAATCACACCTGGAGTTGCTGCTAGCAAGAGATGTTAAGAGTAACAAGAAGGGTTTCTTCAGGTATGTTAGCAACAAGAAGAAAGTGAAGGAAAGCGTGGGCCCCTTACTGAATGAGGGAGGCAACCTAGTGACAGAGGATGTGGAAAAAGCTAATGTACTCAATGCTTTTTTTGCCTCTGTCTTCACAAACAAGGTCAGCTCCCAGACTGCTGCACTGGGCAGCACAGCATGGGGAGGAGGTGACCAGTCCTCTGTGGAGAAAGAAGTGGTTCGGAACTATTTAGAAAAGCTGGACGAGCACAAGTCCATGGGGCCGGATGCGCTGCATCCGAGAGTGCTAAAGGAGTTGGCGGATGTGATTGCAGAGCCATTGGCCATTATCTTTGAAAACTCATGGCGATCGGGGGAAGTCCCGGACGACTGGAAAAAGGCTAATGTAGTGCCCATCTTTAAAAAAGGGAAGAAGGAGGATCCTGGGAACTACAGGTGAGTCAGCCTCACCTCAGTCCCTGGAAAAATCATAGAGCAGGTCCTCAAGGAATCAATTCTGAAGCACTTAGAGGAGAGGAAGGTGATCAGGAACAGTCAGCATGGATTCACCAAGGGCAAGTCATGCCTGACTAATCTAATTGCCTTATATGACGAGATAACGGGCTCTGTGGATGAAGGGAAAGCAGTGGACGTGTTGTTCCTTGACTTTAGCAAAGCTTTTGACACTGTCTCCCACAGTATTCTTGCCAGCAAGTTAAAGAAGTATGGGCTGGATGAATGGACTATAAGGTGGATAGAAAGTTGGCTAGATTGTCGGGCTCAACGGGTAGTGATCAATGGCTCCATGTCTAGTTGGCAGCCGGTATCAAGTGGAATGCCCCAAGGGTCAGTCCTGGGGCCGGTTTTGTTCAATATCTTCATAAATGATCTGGAGGATGGTGTGGATTGCACCCTCAGCAAGTTTGCAGATGACACTAAACTGGGAGGAGAGGTAGATACGCTGGAGGGTAGGGATAGGATACAGAGGGCCCTAGACAAATTAGAGGGTTGGGCCAAAAGAAATTTGATGAGGTTCAACAAGGACAAGTGCAGAGTCCTGCACTTAGGAGGGAAGAATCCCACGCACCACTACAGACTAGGGACCGAATGGCTCGGCAGCAGTTCTGCAGAAAAGGACCTAGGGGTTACAGAGGACGAGAAGCTGGATATGAGTCAGCAGTGTGCCCTTGTTGCCAAGAAGGCCAATGGCATTTTGGGAAGTATAAGTAGGGGTATTGCTAGCAGATGGAGAGATGTGATCATTCCCCTCTATTTGACATTGGTGAGGCCTCATCTGGAGTACTGTGTCCAGTTTTGGGCCCCACACTACAAGAAGGATGTGGAAAAATTGGAGAGAGTCTGGCGGAGGGCAACAAAAATGATTAGGGGACTGGAACGCATGACTTATGAGGAGAGGCTGAGGGAACTGGGATTGTTTAGTCTGCAGAAGAGAAGAATGAGGGGGGATTTGATAGTTGCTGTCAACTACCTGAAAGGGGGTTCCAAAGAGGATGGATCTAGACTGTTCTTAGTAGTAGGAGATGACAGAATAAGGAGTAATGGTCTCAAGTTGCAGTGGGGGCAGTTTAGGTTGGATATTAGGAAAAACTTTTTCACTAGGAGGGTGGTGAAACACTGGAATGCATTACCTAGGGAGGTGGTGGAATCTCCTTCCTTAGAAGTTTTTAAGGTCAGGCTTGACAAAGCCCTGGCTGGGATGATTTAGTTGGGGATTGGCCCTGCTTGATTGGTCAGGCAGGGGGTTGGACTAGATGACCTCCTGAGGTCCCTTCCAACGCTGATAGTCTGATTCTATGATAGATGGCATGCATATTTCAATTCTGGCACCCCCCCTGCCTGACCTCAGAGTACGTTAGTCGGAAGGAGTATTTCTCAATGGTTCTCCAGGCGCTTGTGGATCACCGTGGGCGTTTCATTGACTTTAACGCAGGCTGGCCTGGAAAGGTGCATGACGCATGCATCTTTCGGAACACTGGCCTGTTCAGGAAGCTGCAAGCCGGGACCTTTTTTCCAGACCAGAAGATCACCGTAGGGGAAGTCGAAATGCCCATTGTGATCCTTGGAGACCCAGCTTACCTTTAATGCTGTGACTCATGAAACCCTACACAGGGAGCCTTGACAGCAGCAAGGAGCAGTTCAACAACTGGCTGAGCCAGTGCAGAATGACTCCTCCTGTATATTCCTGATATTGCGTCACCTAGGGACGGGGCCTAATGCAAAAAAGAATTAAGTGTTTTCACCAATAGTGAAGTGTTTACACCCACACTCGTGGGAGTGAGAGCTATAGACAAAAGCTATGGCCTACAGCAAGAGAGATGGATAGCCCTGGGATAGTTGCTGTAATCATTGTATTTCTAAATAATGTGGTCATCCCTCTCTCTACTAAAGCTTTGTAATACATTCAAATCGTTATCATAAGTTCACAGGATTCCTTCATGTACCCACTCTGAAACCACTGGCTGTGGAGTTGTTCCTTCAGCTGTTATGGCTTTTCTTCTCATGGTTCGTATCTTTGTGACAGAAAATAAATTGCTTATTTGATTTTTTGCCGCAAATATCTCCAATGGCTGGTGATGCACCACTAGATGGGGAGGGCTCTGAGTTACTACAGAGAATTCTTTCCCACATGTCTGGCTGGTGGATCTTGCCCACATGCGCAGGATCTAACTGATTGCCATATTTGGGGTTGGGAAGGAATTTTTCCCCGGGTCTGTTTGGCAGAGACCCGGAGGGGATTGGGGGTTCGCCTTCCTTTGAAGCATGGGTCACTGGCAGGTCTA